GCCTGGCTCAATAACCGGCTCTGGCACACCTTGGAAGCCGTAACCATGTAGAACACAGGCGCTGGCCGGTTTTTTTCCACAATTACTCCAAACATTCAAAAAATGTTATTACGGCTTAAGTGGACGCCTTTGAAGCCGAGCCCGGTCTGAATGGGTTCCACCACGACTCCCACGCCCCTCCTCTCATGTGGCTTCACGCCCGCACGGGCGCAGGGAATTCCTCTCTCCCTAAAGCCTCGTGCTCTCAGTTGTTTTCAATGTTCCGGTCGCCACCTGCGCGGTGATTTGTACGCGTTGGGGTGGGCGGGGGCGTTTGCCCTACAGGGATACGAAGCCACGCAGCTTGATGTCTAGCTGTGTGAAACCGATCATCTCCCTGTCTGGGTGTCTCTTCTGTCTCTCAGTGCGTCTCGATCTGTGTGCGTCTCTGTCTGGGTCTGCCTCTCGGTGTGCATCTCTGTGTGTATCTTTGCCTGTCAGCATATCTGCGTGTCGCTGTCATTTCCGTTTGCTTTTCTTGCGTCCATCTCTCTACCTGTCTATTATTACGTTTGTCTGTTTGCCAGTATTTATATCTGTGTGCTGCATGTGTGTCTTGTATTCTTTACTGTGTCTGTTTCATTATCTGTCTCTCTGAACAGCTATCCATCGGTCTCTTTTCCCACACATCCATCTGTGTTTTTTTCATGTCCATTTGCTTCTGTCTGTTTCTTTTACAGTGTGTTGGTCTATCTGTTTGCCTGTTCTATTCTGTTCGATTTGTCCACCTCTCCGTGTTGCAGTCTACCTGTTGAGCGTATTTACTTCCAAGACGTTCTCCCCATCTGTTTGTCTCCTTGCATGTTCCACCCCGTCCATTTTCGTGGTTTGCTGGGGTAACATCTAAAGGCCGCATGGTGGGGATACTATAAGTGGACCTTGAAGGTCAAATGCTGACTATGTAACAGTTGAGGGATGCAGCAGGTGTGGTGACATCCATGGCAATGGCCGTGACGACCTATTGACCTTGACGAACAAAACAAGTGGCATCCCTGTAGTTTTCCTCATTGTATCCTAATCTTGCAACTGGAATTTAAAGCAGCTAGAATTGCTTTGCACCCCCCCCCCCCCCACCACCACCATTACAATATCAATTGTATCTGAAATGGCCAGGGCCAGGCGCAATCAGCATTCTCCACAAATGGGAAATAAAAGACACGCCGCAAGTGCAACTGCGGTGCACGGCAAAGAACAGTGCAGTCGTATATCGTGAACTCGTGTCCACTGCGAGCGCTCTCCTTCAAGGGCACCGGTGGGACCTACTCCTTGTCCTCCGAAGCCAGCAGCTGGATTCACAACTCAAGACGTCCACGTTATAGTTGCCACTCAATTCATATCCACGTGAAAAAAAAGAGGGAGAGGGAGAGAGATAAGACCGCTTTTTTTTCCTATCTCCGTGACTTTACCGAAAGACCCAAAGAATAAGCATAAACACTTCAAGAAATATTATAAGCTTTTAGCTGATATCCTTTAAGGGTGGTCTATCTTATACAGAAACTGCACTATTAAGTTGCAAGTTGTTTTCTATTTGCCCATCGGTTCTTGGGCAGGTGGTTCGATGCTCGTATCGTTTGGATCAAGAATCGCTATTTACAGAAAGCATCGACGCGCCATCCCAGCCCCGAGTAACTGAGCCCTTGCTGCAAACGCTGGGATTCCCCACATCAAAGGAGACAAAAGACTTACTTTATAGAGCAGCGCTCACTGAAGTGGTCAACTGGAACCCAGGGGCTTTTGCGGAGCTTGTGAAAACGCTTGCCAAGTGCCGACAGCAATAAAGCACACTTGCACGTGACCCAGTTTGTCCCACTCCATGCTGTGCTCAGTTACTGGCTTTATTAATAAATCATACACACACACACACGTGTGCAGGCTCATCCAAGCCAGATACAACCTTACTCACTATCGGTGGCACCGCACCAGTCTTCTATTCAGTAGGCTTGTAACAATCTGTCCCCCCAGCGATTTGATGAGCCGTCACACAATTCGTGGCTGCGATTTGATCCCACGACCTCGCCTCGTATTTACCGTCGGAGCTACGGCTGTGGGGAGCAGACGGCGCTGCAGCAGAGTCCACTGTCGTACTAATCGCCTACGCTCCCCGTGTTCCCGAACCTGCACTGACCGGCGTAGTGAAGCATGGCCACAGAGCCACCACGACCCACACATCCTGGGGAGCCCCTCTTCCAGCAGGAGACTGACAAAGGGCTGTCACCGTATACACACGTTTCGCATCTCAGTTGCATTGCTTTCTCTTTGTCTCGCCTCGTCTTGGCAAATTTTGTTTGCGCCATTGGCCTCAACGTAACATTTTACCCTCCCGCATGCACATTGGAGAGGTTGAGATGGGTCTGCGAGTTCCAGGTGACATAAGTCAGGAGGGTAAATTGAGATTATTGCCCTGTCCTAATTATTTTATGAGGAATTCCGGGTTTATGCAGCTTAGATAGCCATCTAATTTGAAGAAAAAAAAATCCTGTAATTTTGTAGATAACATTAATAAAGAAAGTCTTGCACTCCTTATTTTGTTTGTTTACATCCGGTGTGAAAATGTTGATGTTCCACCAGCAGACCGTCCCAATTTAGAAACTCTACGGGTTCCCAGTCCACACGCATCCAGCCATGTAAACAACCCGCTCAGTCAACGCCGCATTTCTCGGAAGAGATTTACAGCTATGAGGCCTCAGCACAGCCTCCCCTGCAAACTCCATCTCGGCAGCCAGATATGAATTCCTCTTTCGCACATGCAGTCTGTTCTCCCGTAACGCGTGTTTTCAAAACGCAAATTGGATATAACGCGATGAAGGTATTAGGGAACGCATTTTTTCATAACGCGGATGTCGATGTGAACCGAACTACGTCACGCGAGTAGATATAAGCGGTTGTATGGCCGCCTCAGCGTAGCAACATCACACAAGGTATTGGGATGCTGCTGGATGCTTCTTCGATGCTACCCACGTGCCTCAGTCTTTGTTCGACCTACGCATCTTAACAGTTATCGCGGACTGTGCGTCACCCAATATTATATGTAACGCAATTTTACGTAACATGGTGTTCTTCAGAAATGCAACAACCACGTTATAGGAGAACAGATTGTATTAGTATGAAACGGATAAGAGGTGCAGCCCTGTAACTGCTGGCTCACGTCACTGATGGCGGAAGGACCTCCGCCAGAATAATATCTTAGAGAGCCCCTCTAGAGGGTGTTTGGTCTACTCTTCCGCGTTGGCCAGATGCCTTGGAAGAGGTGGCAGTACCCACACTTTACCCCACCACACACGTAATGCCGATTGACCAACTGTGGTGATCCCATGCATAGTGCTGGATGGTCAGAGGCTGAAGAATTAAGAAACTTGTCCCGATGTTTTAATTGCCACGCCGGGAGATTGAATCGAACCGTCGACCTCTGGATCGCAAGTAAAGTGCCCTAACCCATTATACCGTGGCAACAGCCAATAACAGTACAATTGTCGAATAATAGCGTCTAATAGAGAATGGATTCTATAGCCAAACAAAATAATATATTCCAGGAATTAGTGTCTCAGAAAAAAGGGCAGGACGTTCCACACATCACATTTCAAGAAGCAAGTCACTGCCATTTCTTCCATTGGACTTGTTGATTGATCATGGCTAAAGACAATAATAATTAACTTATTTTCCAGGAGAACCACACTGAGTCATCACACTCTCTTTTAGAATGGTCCTGCATTGGGTTTGTATTTTAAGATGTTTCCCACCAATTAATAATGAGCACCTGGAGCAAACCCACGTGCGCGAGGGGGCAACACTATCCCCATACAGATGGAGATTAGTTGACTTGCTGTACTGCCTTCTGGGGAGCCCGCGCATGGCACCTCCTCGACGCCTACGAGAAGGGAGTTTCAGTGCAGCATAGCCACCACTGCCCGGCTATGTCTGCCGCCTGGATAATGATGATAAAGGTATATATCATTTGTATTACTACGCTTGTTTACCCAGGAAAGCCTCAACGACTCTCGTGACTCTCTTTCAAGAGGATCCACAGTAATAACCAGGGCGGATCAAACCACTGGATTGAACTGTGCACTTCTGCCACAAGCGGCGAACCCGTCACCCCTAGGCCATGTCACCGCCCCATTTCTAGATTCCCCATTCAACCTAAAGGTCACTTTGCGAGCCTAGGAAACTCGTATTCTGTCTAAGAGAGCCAAAGGATTTTTTTTATCAATCGCAGTAACTTTTATCTTGGAATGGAATCAATGTATTCAGTACAAGGGGCACTTGCTGGGAATAAAGAACCATTCTAAACATCAGACACCGAGTCTACGGCTGCCCTCCTCAATGTTGGTACTTTCAATAGTTGAAAAAAACTCCGCTAGACTACGTCGCTGACAAACACGGACCCTTCCAAACCACAGTGTCTGGGAGGTGGCCACTGTGACTTGTCTGCAATAAAACACAGAAGCCATGGCCGTGAGGCATCTGGTGTGAAGGGAGGGAGGCAGGGGTGTGTTTGCAGAGCACGACTGCTCTCTGGTGAGAGAAACTGCCCTTCCGAACACAGACCACAAAGCTCCCTTTACGTGAAACCACTCGAAAAGCATAAATTCCGATCATTTCAGAGGCTGGCTGACTGGCTGGCTAGGGATCACGAGGTCATCGTGGCCAATGCTACTGATGCCACCACAACTCACCACTGCTTCCTTCCTTCTGCCGGATTTTGACCTCAAAAGCTCTGCTCTGAGATCTCATCACCACCATTGCCATCTGGCTTTAGATCTTCTGCTTGGTGATTAGCTTGGTGCCAATATTATGCCTAACAGTAAATGGGCCTTGTCCTCCCCCCCCCCCCACCTGAGACTCCTCTGTTATACGGCCAACCTCTGAAATGTACGAACGACAGTGGCGTTACTCCCACATCTGCCGTGCTTAAACGGGAAGCCTAAGTACACAACGGGTCTCCTCCCTTGCCCGGAACTGACCGTCAATGAGCAGAGGGTTTCCCAGGTATCGCGACACGAGGATGTTCTCGTCCATCGTCACCTGGTTGGGCTGCAGATAAACGGGCGGATGGAAAAGGCAACACGTCGGGATCATTATCGCCATCGTAAACATCGGCGGACATCACCAACAGCGGTCATTGTTGCCGAGGTTTGAATTTGTGCTGTATTTGGGGAATAAATCAAGTAGGAGACGTGCGTTTTTTTGGGTTGTGTCCGCTTTTGCTTTTTTTTGCTTTTATTTTAACAAAACGCGAGCTCGTTACAGCCCGCCACACGGCTCACAAAACCGGGAATCGATATTCGCCGAGAACTGTCCCGATGCAACTGAGCCGTATATGTGGGAGGGGGGGAGGGGTAATAGGTGGGAAGAGGGGTCCGCTACCCCAACTAAATGAGGATGCCACGTCAGGGAGAAGATGAACATTTTAATTGGGGGGGTGGGGGGGAGACAGATGACAGGGGAGAGGAAAGTATAACCATCGTAATGAGGAAAATCTGGGGTGGGGAGGGGGTTGCACCTGCTTTTAAAACAGCCACCACTTACGCTGTTGACGAGGTAGACTCCTCGTCCCCGTGACGAGGCCACTGGTTTCACAATCCACGGCCCCCGGTCTTTAGAGTGGGCGGCTACACAAATTGCAAATGGAAAGACAAGTCGGTACGATCAAATAGAGCAAGATTACTACGTCAACGTTATATTTATTTATCATTCTTTCTTAAAATTCATCATTGATATGTGGTCTAGGCCACCCCATGATCTGGCCAAATTTGTGGAGTTAAGCCCCTCCATCAGACGACATAGCCAAGAAAATGTAATTGTCACGCGGTATACAAGTGTTTAACACGCTAATTAGTATCCACAATAACGACACATTCATGTTTACGCGATCTAAACCAAAAAACCCTTATTATCGAAAATATTGGTCGCAAAATCCCACGTGTTAAAACTGCGCTAATTATTGTTTTATCAGCTTAGCTTAAAGTTTGAAGAACAATTCAAACAACCAAATTGAGCGGCATTTAGATACTCGACATTTATCTTTAAACCCAGGAAGTCAGAAAACAATCCAGGAAATCAGACGGACTTTATTTTGGCTACGTTGGGTGGTGGCGGGTCATAATGGCACAAATTTGGCCGAATTATTACATGGCCTGACCAAAAATTACGTATTATAAATCGTAATATTTGCTCGGAGAACCCACGTGTCAAATGTGATATATATTTTGATTTAAACCTTTCGTGACTGTCATTGACTTCTCCAAGACAGAGGTTCTTTGCAAGCCATCTGGCTACCATGCGAGATTCGTTCATGAGGCTATCCACATATACAAACACAGAGACAATTTCAACCGAGAAGATGGATTCTGGCTTAGCAATCATTGGAAGGATTTGATAAACCATTTCGGGTCTTAATTGATTGGTCACGCTTACGGTGGCTTTCAGACCGCATCCATTATTTTCGTCTCCCCCCTCCTCTTTTCCGAACATAGATGGACTCGTCCATCTGAATAACTGCCAAATCGCTCTCCGTGGTGCTAACGTTAAAAAAAACGCCACTTTTTTCAAATTTTCTTGTTGTGGTTTTCACACCTGATGATGATTGCTTGTGTTTCAGTCGAAACGTCGTAAGAATTTAATTGTTTTATATTTTATTATTTTATTGTTTCCCTTCTACGTGACTTTACCGAAATAACCAATAATATAATGTGATATATATTGTTCGCACTATCCCGATTGGTGCCATGAGACAAAGCATTCTTTCGAATCTTTCACAGTGCAAGTACAAACCTTCGCGTTTGAGATGATGAAGATGTCAGTGATGACTGCAATGGTGTCAATAATGATAATGGTGATGAGGATTGTGGAAAAGACGCATGACAATTTACATGACGACGATAATGGTGATGACAATTACATATATGATTTGAATATGGCGATGATGGTGATGATGCTGGTGATGAAGATGACAATTAGAATGACACTGATGATCATGATTATTGAATATGAAAATTATTACACTTGTTTATCCAGGAAAACCTCACTGGGGTCCTGCTGTGTATAATCCAATTGAGACATTTTCAGGTAATTTTCTAATTCGAACCATGATGCAGACATTTTTAAAACTATAAACTAAACAATTTTTTTATTTTACCAGGTAAGGCCCATTGAGCTATGTAACTATTTTTTAGAAGCGACCTGACCACAAATTATAACTCAACAAAGTGACTTACTTATCATGTGGAAATTTATAGCAGCCAAATACTCTAAATGCACGTTTTTAAATATGGAGGGAAAAACACAAAGGACGTGGTGAAAAATCCACGTGACCACGGGGAGAACACGCTAACTCCAAATATACAGGCATCAGGGTTGGGATCGAACCGACGACCTCCTGTATACCAGGCGAAGTGGTTAACATCTCGCTACCGTGGCCCCCTCAATGGCCTCGTCTTGTGAATGACGTAACAGGATATTTAACGTCCAATGTGAAGTTTAATACACCCACGAAGTTATTATCAGGGCAGCCGCTGGATTCTAAGCATGAACCGCTGCAACAAGTGGTGAAGGGGCTACCGCTAGGCCATCCTCAACCCAAATAAATACTGATAATCCTAGAGATGACTGGCGATCATGATAACGATGCAGCTGGAGATGATGATGACGATGATAATGACAACGCTGCAAGTGATGATGATAACCATGCAAATAATGACAGCGATCTGCTCCGTGCTCTCACAACAGAAGTCCTGATACTCTGCTGGCAGCAGGAAAGTGGCGGGGATGATGTTGAAATGCTTATGTCCATGGCTCTGCTGCATGCGCTGCACGTTCTTGCACAAGCGGTCTTTACGAGTCAGCTCATACGACCTGCACACACACACACACAACAGACAAAGATCCCCCCCTTATGGGATTAACAGACTGTTGGGGAAAAGTGCTGTTAGTGAGTACCTATGAAGGCTGGCACGGAGGAGGTGGGTGGTCAGCACCACACCCGACCGCCTTTGTATCCACAGTGGCGATGTTTACACACCACATCGGGTACGCATTTGAGGCCGTGTCGACTTAGATCGTCAATCGTGTTGGCTGTGACCGGGAATCGAAATCGGGTCGCCAGGTTCGTAGCACAGCACGCTAATCGCTGCGCGACCGCTGTTAGCGAGCACTTATGAAGGCCGGAACAGTACACGAGGTGGTGGGTGGCCAGCACCACGCCCGACCGCCTTAGTCTCCCCAGTGGCAATGTTTTTATCCACTGCACCAGGTATTCATTTGAGGCTGAGTCGACCTAGTGTTGGCCGTGAGCGGGAATCGAACCCGGGTCGCCAAGTTCATAGCGCAGCGTGCTAACCGCTACACTACCGCTCCCCACACACACATACACACACAAACATTCCTAGTTTACTATTATAGCCTGGAGGGCACTGGTGCCCCCCCAGCAAGGCCATGGTAAGTGGTCTACGGAACTGTTGTTTCGCAAGTCCAAAAAGGTTGGGAAACTGCTGCTGTGGGTAAAGGTTATTTTAGCGAGCACCTATTAAGGCCAGCAAGGCATGCATGAGAGGGTGGTGTGGCCAGTACCATAACCTTCGTCTCCCCAAAGTGCTGACGTTCACACAACAGGTATTAATTTCAAACTGAGTCGACCTAGGGAGGACCCAGGACTGGTTATGATATCTTGACTTAAAGCTTTCATGACTGCAGGAATTCATATTCTTTGGGTCTTTCGGTAAAGTCACGTAGATAGCTTCAAAGAAAATAACAAAAAATAACAAAAAACTACGACGTTTCGATCGCAACACAAGCGTTCGTCATCAGGAACGCTTGTGTTGCGATCGAAACGTCATAGTTTTTTGTTATTTTCTTTGAACCTATCTACTTGACTTTACTGAAAGACCCAAAGAATATGGTTATGGTATCATTCACCACTGATATTGGACCTTATATTGTTTGCCTTGTCCATATGCAGTCACTTTATATACATACGAATGTTAGTCATAGTTATAATAAAACTCGGATTTCTGAGTTTGGAGAAAAGTGCATTTAACCACTTATGCCACCAATCCCCATACAACAACAACAACCGCCATTCGCCACTAAGTGGCGGTGACGTCACCACGACGCTTGTGCCAGGCCATGTGCACCTTGAGGCCACGTGAAGTGTCGAACGCCCGCTGGCAGGAGGTCACGGGGCAGACCCAGGTGCCACGGGTCGACTGACCGAGATAACTGGCTGATGCACCACCTGTGCCCCCTACTGTGCCAACCTGCTGTGCTTTAGCCACCCGGCGCTCCGCTCGTTGTTGTGAGCGTCGCTCCTCCACCCTCCGTTATTGTTGGAGGGCGACTGCCTCCAACTGCCCAGTAGCGTCCTTCACGAGCCTCCTCCACAGAGGCCGATCTTGACACCGCTGGTACCAGTCATCGGCAAGTCCACTCAGCTCCACGTCCTCCTGTACCACATCACTCCATCCCTTCTCTAGCCCGTGCCGCGCCCGTTTAGCCCCCTCGATCCGGCCGAACAAAAGCTGTTTCGGCATGCAGTGGCTGGGCATGCGGGCTACATGACCCAGCTAACGCAGCCATGCCTGTCGGAGGAGCTCACCAATGGGACCTTGCCCAGATCTTTCAAGAATTTGTGAGCTCCTCACACAATCCAGCCTGGTTAAACCCAGGATGGATCGTAGACAGGCTAGCCTAAATGTTTCTAACCGGCGAAGATGTTCCATTAAGGGGGTCCACGTTTCGCAAGCGTAGAGAAGAGAGGGAATGACCGTGGCTGATAAGACCTGAAGCTTAATGCGGAGTGATAGACCAGGTAGCTTCCACACAGCGTTACGCAACCGATGAAAAGATATTGCCGCTCGACTGATTCGGAGTGAGACCTCTGCTGTTAAACTGGAGCTGGTCATAAGCACACTGCCCGGTATGGGAAACTCTCCACTCTCTCCACAACTGCCCCATCACCGATTGGGAGTTGTGGGGGTGGAGTGTCCGATGGTACGAAAAATACCCAGGCAGGTGCTTAGTTTTGGTGGGGCTGATGGTAAGGCCCCATACATAGAACACACACACACACGCGTGTTCATTTCAGCAAAATACACACACGTAGCTGCATTCATGCAAGTCCTGTCTTGGTCGAGTTAAGCCGCACCTCCGAATAGCACGGTTGGCCATGTACGGTGCAAAAGAAGTTCCTACATACAAGTCAATGCCTTTCCCTGGCAAATCAATGATTGAGGCACTGCTCATCTCTGTTTGGCAGCCCTGAGCTGGTGGTGTGATTCCCACAAATGTGGGAGCCAGTCTCTCCACTGGACGCCCACTGTCAACTCGTGATGACTTATTATCCGTGTCAACGATTCCAGGGGAGAGATCACGATGGGACCAATCGCAACCCTCAACTGGGACTTTAACTCCCAACCTCCCAACCGGCTTTCGAACCGTAGAGGGCCACATGACAGTGCTGCCCACCTGGGGAAATGGTTGACCTTCTGGAAGTCGGTGAGCGAGCGTAACGAGAAGGGCTTGGGGTGAGTGCCCGTCCACATCAGGTTGAAGTCATTGCTGCTCGGATGAACCTGTGTATTCAGTGAGAATGAGGATGGTGGAAAAGACCAATGACAATTTACATGGTGATCATGATGGTTGTGAAAATGACATAGATGATTATAAAAATGGTAGTGATGCCGGGGATGATCAAGACAATTACAGTGATGATAATAATTATAATTATGATGGTGATGATCGTGACCGTGATCTTTAAATTATAATTATGATGAGGATGCCGGAGATAATGATAACCATATTTAATATAATGCAGCCTTCTGATCCATGCTCTCACAAGAGAAGTTCTACTACTCTGCAGGCAGCAGAGGTACGAACACTCACAAAGTCGCTCACATGCTCGCACTCTCACACAAGTACTACACACAAACACTCACATTCTCGCATACTTGCTGGCATGCTTTGACGCCCGCTCATACTCGCTCACCCTTGCTCACCTTCTCACTCGCACTCACGTGCACTTACAAGCACTCACACTTGTACACATGCACTCATACGCAAGGACTTTCGCTCACATGCTGTCCGCACCTCATGGAAGCCATGGGAACCCAGGATGTTCCTCACAAGCCGACTTTCAGTCCGTACAAACTTGTAGGCCAGGTGGTAGCGTTCTGCACACACACCACCATCATCACCACCAACAGCATCGCCATTAGACTAAATTTATTACCCTTCATTCACACTTATAAATATTAAAACGATTAAACAATGTTTTTATTTTACCAGGTAAGGCCCACTGAGTTATATAGCTATTTTTCAGAAGCGACCTGGCCATAAATGATAGCTCTACGAAGTGGCTTATCACGTGCAAATATATAGTATACAATACTCTAAATGTATGTTTCTAAACGTGGAGGGAAAAACCAGAGTACCCGGAGAAAAATTCACACAACCACGGAGAGAACATGCAAACTCCAAATAATCATGCTACAGGGTTGGGATCGAGGTTCACGACCTCCTCCATACCGGGTAAGACTGTTAACATTTCCTCACCGTGGCACCCCATCACACAATATCACACAATGGCAAAGTGTCTTCCTTCTCAAAGCGGGCGTGATGGGTGGCCATCTCCATTGCTGAAACTGAGCCAATGTTGAGGTGAGTGTGCAGCAAGTGTGCAGGGTAGCGGCATGGATTATCTAGTGTGCAGGTGGTACAGCTTCGCCAGGGCCCACGGGACGGTGCGGGGGGGGGGAATGCGCTATGTTTGGAAGGCAGGGGGACAAGTGTTCGTTGGGGGCCCTGACACTGTTGGCTGAAGTCAACATTTGAATTTGGCCAGAGTGGCAGATTTTTGGAACTACTGGGGAGGGGCAGCAATGCCAAGTGTGCAGTAGGGTGGCTGTTATTGGTGGGAGTGTGCATGTGCAGTAAGTGTCATTAAATGTTTTGAGTGTGCATTAGCTGCGCTGTAAGAACTGCATTAGCTGTGCGGTAAGCATGCTATAAATGATCAGTAAGTGTGCATTTTCTGTAGAGTAAGTAATACATTAGCTGTGCAGAAAGTGTGCTTTTAATTACCATTAAGTATGCATTAACTGTGCAATAAGCGTGCATTAGCTGTGTGGTAAGCATGCTGTAAACGATCAGTAAGTGTGCATTAACTGGAGAGCCAGTACTGCATTAGCCGTGCTGTACGTGCTCACCTCCAATCGTCTTGAAGGCCAGCTCCGAGCCCACAATGGCGTCGGGATGGAACAGCAGCACGGGGGTCTTGTGGGCGCTGCCCACCCATTGCACCACCAGGCTGTGCTCCCTCTCCGGCCTGCGGCACCACGCGCAGACACGGCCACCGCTAGCAACAGCACTAGCAGCAACAACAGCAGCAGCAGGAGCAGCATCGGCAGCAGGAATTGCAAAATATGCACAATCACATAATAGATGACTGAGAAAAATATGGACCGATGTAGTGGAGAATGCACTCGAATGGAAAGGAACGACATAGAAATATCAGCAGCAGATGGGATATGATGATGAGGATGATGATCGCCAACTGTGAATAACCGCTGCTGCTGCCTCTGCTGTACGTTCATGGACCCAACGGTCTCTGCCAAGGAGCAGGACGTAAAGAAGACAACATAGTACATGGGCCGAGTTTTATTATGTGGAAATGAAGAACAAATATCCTTAGCAGGGGTCACTAAAAATTCTTGTGAGGGTAAAAGAGGTGGTATTCAGATGCCTTGGGAACGTGTTGAGAAAAGACATTGCAACTACAAGGGCGATGGAGATGCCAGCGATGCAGGGCGGAAGGAATTGAGTGACAACCTTGCTCTACGTCCCTTGAATAAATAAAACCGATGGACTCAAGCCACACTTGCCAGAGAAACCGCATCTCCATCACTCATCAACTATTTAAAGTGGGCGAGAGCCCACTGAGCCTGAAAGCATCCTTATATAGGGGAAGCCTTGATCACAAAACAATGCAGCGCAAGGTAAACAGTGGAAACAAAGGTCCTCACGTACTCTGTATCCTCGTCAGATGAGGCGAGACTGCTCTCCGAGCCACTGCTGGATGCGGACGGCATTGTCGTCACTCAACGGCGTCCTCCTCCAAAGAAAGATAACGTCGGTTCCTTGTAGGAATTAACGTTGGGAGGTCGCTGTGGGATGATGGTGCGATATGGCCACAGGGATGTGGCTGCAATGCAGTCACGCCAAGTCTTGCAGGTCTCCAGCACACGGTCTCTTCTCACGGTGGAATGATTCAGAAGTCGGTGGAATGATTGAGAAGTCGTTGTTTGATTCCAGTTGTTATTTTTGATATCCGAGTTAATGTTTAGGCTCGTATAATGATAAAGGTTACTGCATCTATGAAGTCAAACGCCACGTACTCATAATCTCCACTGGGCACACAAAGGCACAGCCTTCACCAAAGTGTTCATGCGAACTGTATGAGGTAGTGCTGAACTGGCAAATCATCACTGTGCTCCGAGGACCATTCAAGTACACTGCACATAGTGCTAAATATAAATGTAAAAATGTATTCACCGCTTCATAATGATCCAACAGCCACTTAACACAAAGGCACTCCAATGACCTTAGCTAACTGCTCTGTGACTATAGTACTTACAAAATTCCACATAATCCGAACATTCACAAGACCATGACGGTGGTGCTCAGTGCAAAACGCAATTACTTTTTAAATGTTTGGAAATATTAGCCCGGAAAAGCCTTGCACTAAGTCTCAAATACTCTCTCTCTTCAGGAGGGTCCTGCTCAGCAGATTCAACTATTCGTTTTCATATTAAACATACTGACCTATGTGCAAATGTGCAGTTTATACTGCATTTGAGTACCCACGTGTGTTTCATTAAAAACGTGTCCTGCAATTGGCTCACTAATGTACGCAAGGTGTTACTATCGCTATGCAGGTTGTTAAATTAAAATTCCCTTTTCTGGAGTTGCAGAATTGCTGAGCCCCGCTCTAGGATTACGGCACTGTAATCTTCGCGCTGTCTCCAGGCTGGGTGAGCTGGGGTGACACAGCGGGTGGGGATCGTGCGGGGAGGAGGTCAAGAGGGAAGACGTAAAAACCATCAGTAATACATTTGCACTCTCAAAGCAATATCACGGCCAATATTGCTGATGCTGCCACACCTCTCCATCGCTTCCTGCCTTCTGCTAAAGCCAGCAACGGTGACAAAGTTAAGACCTGACCTCTAATTGTCACCTATAGTTATGTAATGACATATTGAGTCCTTGATTGAAAAAAATATATTCTTAGGTTCACAATATGTGCATTGAATTGTGCATCTAAGAGTTAATTATATTCAACTCTTACAAATTGTATGTGGCTGGTTCATATGACTCCTGTAGCTATAAGGGATTGTACACAAGAGCTAATAAACTCAAGCATGGAATCGTGACAATTCATCAAATGGTGGAGGGGGGGGGGGGGCGAAGATTATAAATTGTTAATAAAGGTCACTGCCTTCAATGCCGACCTCTGGGTGCCACTCCAATGCCTGTATTGGTAAGCTGGCCTCCTCCAGTGTGCACATGTGACTGGCTGGCTCATGGAGCTTATGTGTCACGTGGGAAGCTCCACCAGCAATACTCAGATCCTGGGTTTCATTCTTGGCTCCATCCACCTTTGATTAAACCAGATTCTCAGGTAAAATGAGATGGTCTAAAACAATATGGGATTGGGCAGACTAATAATGGATTGTCAGCCAAAGTAAGGAAAACCCACTACATAGATATTCACTGTGGAGGAGTGATGAAATCAGCTTGTGTGGCAGTGATATAGCAGTTATTTCCAACTCTGAGTTGCATTACCTTGTTGCAATCATTGAAGATTTGGTCCAACAAGGACTGAATGCTGATGTACCAACCCTGGTGAGACACTGTCTTACCAACACTTACTTCACCTGGAATGGTACATTCTACAAACAAGATGAAGGTACCCCAATGGGTTCTCCCTTATCGCCAGTGGTAGCTAATGTTTTCATGGAAAAATTTGAGACAGATGCCATCCAGGCATCCACCCTACGTCCTTCCTTGTGGAAGAGATACGTAGACGACATGTTCGTCATCTGGCCACATGGCCCGCTAGCACTGAACCAATTCTTCAACCACATACATTCCATACACCCAGCCATCAAATTCACCATGGAAGTGGAAAAGCATGGCAAGTTACCATTCTTGGATTTTTTAATCTAAAAGAGACCAGATGGCTCATTGGGACACTGTCTACAGGAAAGCGATCCACACGGATGCCTATCTAAAACCTGACTCCCACCACCATCCAGCCCAGAAGAATTCCCACATCAAAACCCTACACCAAAGGGCCCGTTGCATCTCCGACCAGCACCACCTAGCCAGTGAAATGGAGCACGTACACCAAGCCCTCAAGATGAATGGATATTCAGACCGTACAATCCGCAAAGCTGTCACCCCAACCGTGGGAATAAAAACATCTGAGGACCGATTCAAAACCATCACCTTGCCAAACATAGCAGGGGTCACCAAAAATATTTCCAAAATCATGAACAAACACAAGATCCAGGTTCGATTCAACACAGTACATAAAATTCGTGATCTGATCACATGTTTACATTTTGATTTAAAGCTTGCCGTTGGTTTTCACACCTGATGATGACTGCTTGTGTTGCAGTCGAAACGTCGTGAGAATTTTATTGTTTTATATATTTTATTATTTTATGGTTTCCCTTCAACGCGACTTTACCTAAAGAACCAAGAATATATATACTGATCACATCTGTGAAGGATGTGATCCCTGACACACAAACTAAGCTGCGTCTGCGGCAGTAGTTACATTGGGGAAACTAAACGACATGTCTCGGAACGTGTTCGTGAACACAAGGCGGATCTGAAACACGGCAGGACCAATACCTCGGCCGTGGCTGATCATTGTTTTAACGCTGTGGGCTCACACGATATTGATTTTTCCAAGATGAAGGTACTCTGCAAACCCACTCGCCATCATCAAAGATTTGTTCATGAAGCCATCCAGATATAAAATAACAGACAACTTCAACTGAGAATATGGGTACAAACTGAGCAATCATTAGATGGACGTGATTAACCAGGTAAAGTCTTAACTTGCTATGTTGATATGTTGTTTCCATCCTTTCTACCAATGTAACTGACTCTCATTACTAGGTTGGATGTCTTGTATTGACAGGCTGGTTGTCCACTGCCCCAGCCTCTGTGGTTGGACCATCCCTAGCTCCACCCACCTACCTTGATGCACCCATCTCAGGGCAGGCTAATGTCTCACAATACAAAGGCCACTGCCGCAGCCTGTGGCCTTTGTATTGTGAGAGATGTAATTTGCATGTAAATGTAAGATCGGAGAGCCTATCTTGATTTGAAGCTTTCATGACTGCAGGAATCCATACTCTTTGATTTTTTCGGTAAAGTCACGTAGGTAGAAAAAGTAATAGATCACGACGCTTCGATTGCAACACAAGCAACCGTCATCAGGTGTGAAACAAACAAGCTTGAGGGCTATGTTCATCATCTTCATCAGCAATGACAAACAAACATGTTACTATACTCTTGGGTCTTTCGGTAAAGTCACGTAGATAGAAAATAAAAATCACGAAATTTGTGTTGCGATCGAAATGTCGTGATTTTTAGTTTTCTATCTACGTGACTTTACCGGAAGAACCAAAGAGTATCGGGGAGCTTGATAAAACCTAGAGGTTAGAGATTAGCATGTCAATGTGAGACAGCTCCCGCAGCAGCGGCTGTGTTAATGAGAAGATTTCCATGTCAGTGTCAGAGAACCGGGCACAACGCCACCTCGTGGGCAACAAAAGCTGCGGCGTTGGCCGCTGCACTGTGAGAGACCAGCATGCCAACGCAAGAGAACCACTGCGGACTGCTGACGTAGGAGTCAGCAGTCAGCAGTCCTGCTGCTGTTTGTTTCCCACCTGATGACGGTTGCTTGTGTTGCGATCGAAACGTCGTTATCTATTATTTTTTCTACCTACGTGACTTCACCGAAAGAACCAAAGCATGCAGATTCCTGCAGTCACGAAAGCTTCAAATCAAGATAGGCTCTCCGATCTTACATTTACATGCAAATTACATCTCTAGCCCCGCCCACTTACCTTTGGGTTGGCACCCATCTCAAACCTATATAACCTCTTGCTGCAGCAGCTCTGCCGCTAATATTTCTCCTGCCTCAGCAGTTCGCCTGCTGTATTTTTTCACCTGAAGACGATTGCTTGTGTTGCGATCGAAATGTCGTGATTTTTATTTTTCTATCTACGTGACTTTACCGAAAGACCCAAGAGTATAGTGACATGTTTATTTGTCATTGCTGATGAAGATGATGAACATAGCCCTCAAGCTCAAAGCTCTGAGTTTTAAATGTCTCTTAGTGTTAATTTTCTACAGGGTGCTATTAGTTTGTGATAACTACTATGGGTGAGTTTAACACGTAGGCTTTCGCGACCAATATTATCCATAAAACAGGTTTCTTTGGGTTAAATCATGTAAATATCGATGTCATTAAACCCGCCACCACCCGACACAGCCAATTGGTAAGGTCTGTCACGTAAACAGAACATGCCAATTAGTTACTAGTACAGCACACCGGTGTGTTGGAGAGTAAATCCATAACATTTACAATCTGAGTAGGATGTTTCACCAGTAATTACAACTAGCATCATCAGGCAACAGCCTAATCAGTTGTAATTACTGCCAAAACGTCGTACTCAGATTGTACATGTTGTGGATTTACTCTCCAACACACCAGTGTGTTGTACTAGTAACGAATTGGCATGTTCTGTTTACGTGACAAATCTTACTAATTGGCTGTGTCGGGTGGTGGCGGGTTTAACGACACATCTATATTTACGTGATCTAACCCAAAAAAAGCTGTATTATGGAGACTATGGGTGAGTGCTCAAATCGCTTGATATATTGCACAGTGTGGCTTTAAGCATGCACAGGCAAGCATTTATTGAAGCCATGGTAAACACAGATACAGCCTCATCGATATTCTACTACTGGGTCAAGGCATCCTCACACGAGTCATAGGGGTTATTTGACCATACTTCATCACGCTGGTAACTGCAGATTGAAGGTGGGGAAGCTTAGACATGGGAGCTTAGGGGTGCAGTACAACCATGGATTTGCTGCACTGGCCTCTGCTGCCCACAGCATAGTTGCTGGAGGAGCCATGTGACAACGTGAGTGCGTGGTGGGATTGTACACAAGACGATTATCTGAACCGGTCATGGGCCTCCCCTCGGTCGACACAGCCTCAATTGAGTACCTGGTGCGATGTAGGGTAACTAGGGAGACGAAGGCGACTGGGCTTGATGCTGGCCATCTCGTGTGCCGGGGTATGTGTGCATGGTGATCACCCATCCAACCACTATCCAGGCTCATACCTGTTTAGCTTCTGGATAGACCCTGATACCACATTAAGGAAACCCTGAATAATTAGGACACATCACCGATTAAAACTTACTCAAGTAAAAAACACACAATAAGTCACGACTACGTAATTAATGTGCCAATTGTCGTAATTGTAGCGATTCAAAAACTCAATAATAAAGCATCGCATAATAATGATAAGCACACATTGCAATGTAATGTAGAAGCCGTTACCAATCCACTGCTAGATGAAAACCTCGCTGCGGCGTGTGGGTATACATCGCCACGCTATCCACTGCGCGGATTGTGGTGAATCGGGGTGATATATATAATCACTCGCGACTCATGTTCGCCGTGGCCCGGAATAAAACTCGCGACGCAGTGCGCTCGAACCGGCTTCATAACCCAAGTGGGCTTAACCACTGCGCCACCGCTCCATCCCAGCAAGCCGCGTGCGCGTGCGGGGAGCGGTGGTGCAGCGGTTAGCGCCCTTCCGCTGCGAACCCGGCCACCACAGTTCGAGTCCCGCTCGCGGCGAGCAATCAGTGACGATTATCTCAACCGATCCCCCTAGGTCGACTCAGCCTTAAATGAGTACCTGGTGCGATGTCAGCATCGCCACTCGGGGAGACAAAGGCGGCCGGGCGTGGTGCTGGTCACCCACCCACCTCGTGTGCCACACAGTGCCGGCCTTTATAGGTGCTGCTGCTCGCTAACAGCACTTGCCCCGACAGTCTGTTGAGGCTTCACGGGGGATCTTTGTCTTTGGGCTCCACGAGTTTTGCACTTAACGCACAACCGAAGGCGCTTCATCGCCGTGTTTGATGTTTATCAAAATCGCACGTACAGTCGAGTTCTATCGCTCGCTCTACGCGGCTTCCCCGTGTCAATTACACAACGGGGGTAAACACTCGCAACAACAACAATAACAACAGCGGCGGCCAACAAAACAAACTTAACAAACGGCGCTGAAAAAGAGCGGTCTCGCTGTTTTTGCACAAACCCCCACCCCTCGACACGGCTCTACTTACCGGACCTTGAAATAACTTAACTTTGTAAAAGCAAAAACGTATATCATCACAATAATCAATAGTAATAATTACCTTCGTGGCTTTTTTTTGGTTTGTTTGCAGTTGAAGGGAGCGGAGCCGCCACGGGGCCTGCGTGTTTAGTGATAGCTGCCGCCCCCCCACTACCCAAAAAAAACTCCGTAGCCTGGCGACCGGCGGCGTCTTGCACAGCGGAACTCTCGAAAGAGACACCGCGCGCTTATGCGCACTACCAAAATGTAACCTCCGATACCTATCCACGCTGGTAAATGCAAAATGGGTTTTTTTGTCGTTTGCCTATGCGTACTGCGAAAACGAACGGCACGCGCTTTGTCAGTAGTAACGAATTCGAACCAGCGCGCATCCGCGTTACGTTATACAATTCGTATGCCAAAGCGTTGTATGGCTTACAATGCCGTCGTCGACGATGTTAAATAGGAAATGTAAATCTGTCAATTCAGACTATGGAATGCAATGGTGATGCTTATGTAACCTAGGATTACTAATTGCACTGTTGGTCTCTAAACCAATTTGCCCGCCTTGGCAACGTTTCTTAATTCGTTTCTTAATTATTTTCTTAATTACGTAATGTGGTTAATTCTCACGGCTAAGGCACGCAGCTGTTATACCATCAATGTGACCGCTGACAACTTAAAAAAACACTGTCTTGGACTCACATATTTAAGTTAACTTTTTATAACACAATTAGTATAGATTTCAATATTAACATTACTAACAGTGGTGGTGTATTGCTAATGGTTGACGTAAATAGGAGAGGACGCTCTCTGGTTATTTCGGTAAAGTCACGTAGATAGAACACATTTTTTTTTAAACGACGTTTCGGTCACAACGCAAGCGTCCGACATCAGGTGATAAATAATGATCTGCTGTTGTGGCTTTATGTAGGCACGGGATTTGTAGAGTCGTGGCGCCAGGCTATAAGAGAAAATTGGACAGGGGAGAGGGTTTCTATCTCATTGTTTGCGCCGGGCTCGTTTGACAACCATACTAGGCAGCTGCTCGGGACATCTACGGACATATCAAGGCCCCATGCTAGTGTGGAGACAATGCTTTCTCATAGCATTTAGAATCTAATTCAAAGACCAGGTGACACCAAGGTGAACAAAACTGTTTGTGCTGGACCCTTTACAATCTCAAAATATGTGTGCATTCAACAATCCTCTTGGCCTCCCAATCTTAAGCTTAAGGTCAATACAAGGGCATACGCATTACCTCCCAAAGCCATTAATCCCCCTTACTATAAAGGATAAAAGCAGATTACAACCTCCAACATTCAAGAACTCGGCAAAAAATGTTTACGTAAAAAATATTACCCAGGGCGGACTTGCTAATGTAAAGACGGTGGCTAGGGCACTCAGTAACAATCAGCAGGTTGCGAGTTCCAATCTTAACACCTGTCATCAACTATCTTCTGTTTGTGAAGGCATCTCTTTTCTCGACTCTTGTGACTTTTAGTTTTCCATCTAAGATGTCAGCATAGCTGTTCCAACTTCATACAAAGATTTTGATTATCTCTGAGAAAAAAAACCAAGACCCTGGATTGTGCGTCCTTCTATTCCCACTGTCCTCCAGACAGTCTCGTCCCTTCACCTGATGAAGGCCGCTTGTGTTGTGGCCGAAACGTCGTGATTTTTTATTTTATTTTCACCTACGTGACTTTACCCAATAGAACCAAAGAGTACCTTTTCATAATTTGTGTAATCCAGGAATAATGGTATCGATACTTATATTTTCTATCCTCAAAGTATTTTTTGTGCTGAACTTGTTCGTTTGGTTAGGCAGACAATGGCAACACGAGGCTCAAACACATCAGTCGTAAAGGTATTTTTAATTTACCGAATTACGATTGCGAGTTCCAATCTTAACGCCTGTCATCAACTATCTTCTGTTTGTGAAGGCATCTCTTTTCTCGACTCGTGACTTTTAGTTTTCCATCTAAGATGTCAGCATAGCTGTTCCAACTTCATACAAAGATTTTGATCATCTCTATGAGAAAGAAAAACCAAGACCCTGAATTGTGCGTCCTTCTATTCCCACTGAATTAAAATACCTTTTCATAATTTGTGTGATCCAGGAATAATGGTATCGATACTTATATTTTATATCCTCAAAGTATTTTTTTCTGCTGAACTTGTTCGTTTGGTTAGGCAGACAATGGCAACACGAGGCTCAAACACATCAGTCGTAAAGGTATTTTAATTTACCGAATTACGATTGCGAGTTCCAATCTTAACGCCTGTCATCAACTATCTTCTGTTTGTGAAGGCATCTCTTTTCTCGACTCGTGACTTTTAGTTTTCCATCTAAGATGTCAGCATAGCTGTTCCAACTTCATACAAAGATTTTGATCATCTCTATGAGAAAGAAAAAACAAGACCCTGAATTGTGCATCCTTCTATTCCCACTGAATTAAAATATCTTTTCATAATTTGTGTGATCCAGGAATAATGGTATCGATACTTATATTTTATATCCTCAAAGTATTTTTTGTGCTGAACTTGTTCGTTTGGTTAGGCAGACAATGGCAACACGAGGCTCAAACACATCAGTCGTAAAGGTATTTTTAATTTACCGAATTGCGATTTACGCGCTCGCATAACAGGGAGTATCGTGTGCATGCTGTGTCATCACAAGTGCAGTGCGAAACATGTTATTAACCGCAATGTTTACCCTGGTTGTAAATCCCTCCTAAGTGAAGGATTGTAAATGCCTATTGCTCTAAAATTATATGAAGATTTTATTTAGTACCGCTAGCGAAAAATAACTGTTTCCACACTTATGGCACCACGTTGTAGAAAGAACCCATTTTGATACACATTTATATACAAACATGACAAAAAAATAAAACATATTTACAGAACCTTCTAATACGATTGCATTTAATGTTCCATAAAGCCATATTGTATTATATAGTCAACATTACAGCGGTATTAACGATGATACATTTGATGCACACACCTCAGGCCCACGGTGTTAACGCAAGACCACCAGGTAATACGTGGCAGGCACAAATTCCTTGAACGGTACGAGTCCCTAAAGTTCATCAATGTATCTTCTAAAGGGGCCCCCCTGCTGGTCAACACACGAGTGAAGGTTTCGAGCAGAGAACAGATGTGATCACAGCACTCATTCTCAACTTACACAGGTCAAGCTCCTCCCGGAGAAACCCTAGAATGTGAGCCATGCCCTAAGGACCCCTGAACATCTTAATCTGGAACCACTGTTCACTTTGTGCATGGAAATCACTCCACTGTCGTCTGTTCCGCTTTGCGAATTTACACGTCGCTAAGTTGTGCATCTCACCAGAGAGACACATCCACACTCTCCCTCAACCCTCTAGATCCTCCCCACCCACCAACCCAACCCCAGCTCGTGTTCCCATCTCCTAGTTCTTTTTCTTCTGCACGTGCGCGCAGTCAAACTTCCCGCGCACAATCTTGAGCTGGAGGCCGGGCAGGTCTTGCGTACGGCCGCCCTCCACCAGCACGATGTTGTGCTCCTGCAGGTTGTGTCCTTCGCCAGGGATGAAAGCAATCACCTCCTCGCCATTGGAGAGTCGCACCTGTGGTGACAGCCCAGGGTGGCGTGGGGCTCCGTCATGCGAGCCTTGGGGTGGCGTTTCACCTCGACTGGTAGCCCAGAGCCAACATTCTCATCGTGCTCAAAAGCTTATATAAACAGACCTCAATTAAATTTTTGATTTAAAGCTTTCGTGACTGCAGTAATTCATATTCTTAGTTTTTTCGGTAAAGTCACGTTGAAGAGAAACAACAAAATAACAAAATATATATAAAACAATAAAAATTCTCACGACGTTTCGACCATAACTCAAACGGTCATCATCAGGTGTGTTGGTTTGCATAAATTTATTTTTAAACGGCACATTTATTTATTTATAAAGATTATACGGCTTACCAAAAATACATAAAGTTGATACACCTCTTCGTCCCATAGTCTCTACTATCAGCTCCCCCACCTACAAACTAGCTCGTTTTTTGTCTGAAATCCTGCGTCCTTTCACTGGAAAGACCACCTCTGCGGTACAAAATTCTACTCACCTGGTATCAACAATCAAGGGTATTTCCCTGTCCCCAGACGACCTGCTTGTCAGTTTTGATGTAGTTTCCTTATTCACCAAGGTTCCTGTACCTGACACCATTGCAATCATTGAAGACTTGGTTCATCAAGGACTAAACACTGAGGTACCCCCCCTGGTGAGACACTGTTTAACCAATACATACTTCACTTGGAATGGAACTTTCTACAAACAAACTGAGGGCACCCCAATGGGCTCCCCCCTTTCTCCAGTTATAGCTAACATTTTCATGGAGAAATTTGAGACTGACGCCATCCAGACTGCCACTCTGCGCCCAACCTTATGGAAGAGGTACGTGGATGACACTTTTGTCATCTGGCCACATGGCCGGCCTGCTCTAGACCAATTCTTCGACCACATCAATTCCATACACCCAGCCATCAGATTTACCATGGAAGTCGAAATAGATGGCAAGATACCTTTTTTGGATGTCCTAATTAAAAAGAGACCTGATGGTTCAATGAGCCACTCTGTCTACAGGAAAGTTACCCATACGGATGCTTATCTGAAACCGGATTCCCACCACCATCCATCACAGAAGAATTCTCTCATCAAGACTCTGTATCATAGAGCCCCATGCATATCCGACCAGGAACACATAAGCAGTGAACTCAAGCACGTACACCAAGCTCTTAGGGCTAATGGTTACTCCGACTATACAATCCGCAAAGCTATCACTCAAACCATGAAGAAGAACCCTCTTGAGGAGCCTTTCAAAACCATCACTTTACCCTACATTGCTGGGATCACAAAAAAGATCTCCAAAATCTTGAATAAACACAAGATCCAGGTCCGTTTCAACACATTACATAAAATCCGTGATCTGGTTCCGTCTGTAAAAGATGTGATTCCGGACATACAATACCCTGGTGTCTACAAACTAAGTTGCCTCTGTGGTAGTAGTTACATTGGAGAAACCAAACGCCATGTCTCGGACCGCATTCGTGAACATAAAGCAGACCTTAAACACGGTAGGACCAACACCTCGGCCGTAGCAGATCATTGTTCTAATTCAGTAGGCTCACATGCCATTGACTTTTCCAGGACGGAGGTTCTTTGTAAGCCATCTGGCTTCCATGAGAGATTCGTTCATGAGGCTATCCACATATACAAGCACAGAGACAATTTCAACCGAGAAGATGGATTCTATCTTAGCAATCATTGGAAAGATTTGATAAATCATTTCAGTTCTTAATTGATTGTTCACGCTTACAGTGGCTCTCAGACAGCATACATTATAAAAAATTTCGTCTCCCCCCTCCTCTTTTCAAAAAAAATAGATGGACTAGTCCTGGACAAACTGCCAAATCGCTGCGCGTGACGCCAACGTATTTTTGGTAAGCCGTATAATCTTTATAAATAAATAAATGTGCCGTTTAAAAATAAATGTATGCAAACCAACACACCTGATGATGACCGTTTGAGTTATGGTCGAAACGTCGTGAGAATTTTTATTGTTTTATATATATTTTGTTATTTTGTTGTTTCTCTTCAACGTGACTTTACCGAAAAAACTAAGAATAAGACCTCAATTAATTAGATTGCTCAAGAGAAGGAAGACGTAGAACAAAGGGGATTGGTGATGAACAAAGTAGTTAAAATTGGCAGATCACTGACAGCAACAGAGGGACTTCATTTCACCCTTCATCCACAATTGAGCAAACAGAAAGGAGCTAAAGATGACTGTGTGCCTCCAGATACAAATAAACAGTTTTTTTTAGTGCATCAGCCAATTTGCTTTTCAGAATAATATTCAGCAAAACATTTGTTTAACCAAGTAAACTCTGCATATTTTTTTTTACTTTCAGCATCTCAAAGCAGATTCAGGCTTTTGTTAAACACAGGCTGCTGGGTTACCAGATTTTATTGGCAAGAACACTACATCTAAATAATGAGGCCCTGTTCAAAGGGTTTTTGCTCACTATGTGGAGACACAGAATGAAGGTGTGTGATACACATTATTACTCAATGCTACACAATGCATAAGTGTGTTTCCCATGGTGGGGGGTATTGTCCCTGGAGGATTACCGCTGTCAATCTCCCGTAAAGTGGTACTAATTTTACCCACTCCAGAGGTAGGACACAAACCGAATCGACCACTTCAACTACCTTCCAATTGAAAGTTGATGGAGAAGTCATCGTCTGCAATTGGAATATTAAATTATTCAGACGAAACACGAGCGCTTGTGTCAACATGATGAGCAAGCACTTACCTTGGCACACTTCCGATTGGCCGAGTTTGGCTTTTTGGGTTTCTTAATGAACGTTTTGAGAATGACGCCCTAAAACACAAGGACCGCAACAATTGTAAACAATAAAAAGTACTGACAGATGTGTCTACATCATTACCAGAAATGTTTAATTCCATACAACCACTGCCTCTGGAATACTTTCTATCTTCAATGCGATTAAATGTGGAGTTCTCAAGGTGGAGAGGGATCAATACCCTCCTAATAAACAATAGTGCATGCCCCCTCTCAATGCTAAATTCCATGAATTTAAGATTAGATAATATATTATCTTTTGCGTAAGTGATTACATATGAATTAAATTAACAATCCAAATGCAGCCTGGTGTAGACAACAGACAGAATCAAGGCCGGTTGAACGTGGAGACATTGAAGACTAAACGCTGCACAGTTTCACCTTGATTTGCGGCCGTCCGAAAGTGGCTCCCAGCTTGGGCGGACGCCGCTTTGGGGGTCCATTCCGGTGCATTTGGTTGAGGGTGATTGTGGCATTTGGCACGAGCTGTGTGCATGGAGCCTGCAGCAGAGCGGAGCCAGCACCTATACACAAAGAAAAACAAGATGTGAAGCAGATATTTAATTCTCAACCAAAGGGTACATTTACATTTTACGTGGTTATTGATGTGCAATCATTGGTGACAAGACTATCAACTCAGTACACTTGAGAATCCGGTTGATTCAAATCGGGAACTCGGTGCTACAGGTTCAGCTACAAGTTCAGTCCTCTGAACTACCCGGCCACCTTCAACACTTTTCCTTATGAGGTGTGTTGTGTTTTTAAGTGTTCATAGCATGTGTAACAGAGTAGGTGGATGGATATAGATGTGTGCCAGTTTGTGAGTGTATTGAGTCTAGTGGCACAGTGGTTCGCCTTATAATTCCTGGTCTGTTCACCAGAAGCAGATGAACCACAACATAATGTATTTGTCTCTCTGCGCGTTACCTGAGAGAGGGTTGAAGAACGATGTTCCTAGTGCCGTGAGTCTCCTCAGAGCAAACATCTATGTAATCAACACAGAATATCGATTTAGTTAAAAAAAATTGTACGGCAGAGGTTAATAACGTATGGGCCACATGTGAATCATGTCATGGAGGTCAGCCTGTACAAAATGCCACTCTCAATAGTTCGGCTTTGCGGTCATGTCCGCCCAACGCTTTACTTGGTCTGAGGCCCTGGATCACTCTTCGTACCTAGCAGCCCATAAAGACACGAACATGTACGGCCCTTTGTCAATCAACTGCTGCATCTCGGAAGTCAAGCTGGCTTGAGCCTGGAGGCTATTTGGACTGATGACCACCATGCATAACCAGATTGCTGTGGGCAGCTGCGGCTAGTGCAGCGATTAATCGTTGTACTATATCTCTCTATACTGCCGGCCACTGACCAGAGTGGTGAAGTATGGTCAAATAACCCCCACGACCCGCACATGTGTGGGGAGACCTTCACCTAAAAGATTGGCAAAACAGCCGAGCGTGTTCATACCCATTGATCAGTAAGGCAATGCACTTCCATTACTGTACTTAACCGCACTGTAACACTGACTCGCCTCTCCACCCTCAAGTGAATGCAGCCTATTCACAATTATCATTTTAATGGGTTCTCCAGCTCTTTGTTAATAACGATTATTTAATTATTCTAAGTGGTAAATATAATAGGGGGCGCGTAAGGTCATGTAACCTTGTGACTCAAGCGCCGAGGCCTAACACGTGTTTATTTGCTAAATCACAAGATCAACCAACTTGAGTAGCACAAATGACGACCGGCAAAACGCGGAGAGGTATGCGTGAACGTAGTGCATATCAACATTACCAAAAAGTCAATATAGAATAAAGTTAAACAATAATCGTTACCTTTTAACTTGACAAGTCCGGCTCAATGAGACACTGTACTCAATCCATGGAGCAGCCTACACTAAATACGTCATAAACACCCCTATATAATGGTTTGTTCCAATGCTTCCTTGCTCCACGCGTAAAGTTTTAGATGTACCATGTATATATTAGGGGTGTTTTAATTTGAATAACATTTCTATATAATTTCACATGAGGCTGCGGCGGTTCCTAGTTACTCATTAGACGTGTATTAGTGAAGCGTGCCCATTGCTTTTCACATGCATGGAAGCGAGGCTCAATGCACGGGCATTCGACAGCGGGTGACGTAAGCAAATACCCCTATAAAATAATGGTTTGACCCATTTTCCCCCGCACTTGACACGCATTCGATTGTGGATGTACCACACAATTTAGAGGTGTTTCAGAATTCGTGCAAGAACCATTTTTTAAATCATTCATTATTCTGCGGTCCTCTGTTGAGAATATTTTTTTAAAAGACGTTATCATGCATTTTTATGTCGACTTCATTGGTTCTCGAATTAGAACTCGAATAATAATTCGAGAACCCATTGATTTCCACCAGGCAATTGAGAACGCGAGGCTCCCCGCCCACCTCGCTTCCCATTGGCTCGCGCGTCTCAGCTGACCCCCCCCCACCCCAACCCACCACCGAATCAACACGAGGGGAGGGGGGGGTGTTCAGCATCATCACCAGCCGTGATCGATCCACTGCTAGGTGTCACCAATCATAGTTCATAGTTCATTTATTAGGTATAGCCCTGTGAGCCATTCGGCTCTTGAATCGGGTGCAATCGCAACAAACAAAAAAAACATGAACAAGAAAACATCTTAAAGTGATTATGTGACTGTGCAAACAGAAAATACAGGAAAAAAAATATCAAAATATTCCTGAAATAGCACCGTACACCAACGCTGTGTGCAAAAAATCCCAGTGGGATGCAAAGTCAAATTACAACAACAACAACCACAACAACCACAAGACAACTAAGATTAAGGCCGTCAGTCTAACTCCGTACTACAATAAACAAAAAACATGGCCAAAACAAAAAGAAAACGTTTTCGAAATCACCAAAATAAAAGCCATAAATCCAATGTAACAATCAACACGCTCCTGAGATGAACGCTTGCACACGAGCTCTTGGAATCGCTCCGTCTCCGTGGGCTAACGGCGTCCCAGATTCATTGCGTTCTGAGCACACGCGTGGAAACCTAAGAATCCCAAATTGTCCCCCGCCTCGTTCCCATGGTTACCAAGCGTCTTTTTTCCCCCCTCTTACCACTGCTGTGTTGTTGCCGAGTTTTAACTCCGTAACAGCGACGATAATCTTATTCCTTCTCACCCGTTGTGTAATTTCTCTGCTCGCGTGGTGCCATGGAGGACATAGACATCGGGGACGTGAGGAAATCGGTACGTCGGCGTGCTGAGGAGACACCGGCTCGGCCCGACGCGGCGGTCGGGTTTGGGCGCGGCGAAGAGGGGGGCTGGAGATACTAGGAAAGACCGGTGGCTCGCTAGGCCTCACGGGACCCTACTCTTTGGTTCTATTCGGTAAAGTCACGTAGGTAAAAAATAAAACAACAAAAATCACGTTTCGGCCACAACACAAACGTCGTGATTTTTGTTGTTTTATTTTTTTACCTACGTGACTTTACCGAATAGAACCAAAGAGTATGGATCCTTGCAGTCACGAATACTTTAAATCTAGAACTCACGGGACCTCTCAGCTTTATTCATTAGTTTCTCCATTGATGATTCTATTAATAATGCTGTAATGCATGGTATGCGTACGAGAAGAGCCTTTTTGTTAATCCGCTGCTGCCTCACGTTGTATGGGTCGTGGAGATTGTTTGGCCACACTTAAACACTTTGGTCAATGCGAGTTTATGAAGGCGGGCAGCATATCGGTGGGGGTCATATAAGTACTGTACAGCGCAACAGTTATTCGTGATGCGTTACACTTTCAGTTTTCAGTTTAATTTTTCATTTATTTGGAATAACCCTGCGGGCCATTCGGCTCTTGATTCGGGTGCAACCGCAACAAACAATAAAATTACAAGATACATTTAAAATTTACTGTACGCAAATTGAAAACATCCCCTACAAAACAATAACCTTTTCCAGAAAAAGCACCGTTTGTTTATGCTGCGTACAAAAATGTGCAAAAAAAATCCCATTTTTATGTTTGATCACAATAACAATCATATAATACAATGTAGATTAAAAGTTTAAGTCTAACTCTATACCACATAAAAAAATCGGGCTAAACTAAACCTTTCTAGAATTTACTAAAATAATGCTATAGAAACAATGTAACAGTGATCATAAGAAATGTGATTGAAAGTTAACATTAGCGACATACATAACATATATTACTAAACCTAGCATCCTTCGCGAGCTGCATGAGTCAATCCAATCCATAATAGCAGGAGCATCACATAGCCCGAGATGCCGATCGCATCTGTTTTGCATTGGTGGTCGCACAAACGTTATCCAGGGTCTGCTTAGCAGTTTAAATCTGGCCAGGTCGAACTCATTCAGGGTGGTTATTGTCATATGCCCAACATTGGCAGTATTCAATCCAGCAAATAACAATTGTGACTGATGTACATTTGAATGATCTTGGGCAAGACGGCTGATATTGAGCGAAAATGCAATCTTAGAGTGCTTTAGAAACATCCACAAATCAATTGTTTTAATTTTGTGGCCCTGCAAAATTGTTTGGGGGATTGTTACCTTGTTCTGAGACAAACAATCTATGGATACCCATGCATAATGCTCTATTTAAGCACACATGTTCAGTTAACGAAAATGTGAATGTAAGATGTCCAATGTAATTCAAAATATGTACGTAGGATGTTTGACATACATATTAACATTGAAACAAAAAAGACCTGTACAGCTCACACCGGCATATCATTTGGTCGGATAATTATTTTCTATTTGTGAACTTCTCCCTCATAGTCAAAATTTGTATTAAGTATCCACCATTGAGGCGTACGAATGAAACGTTTGTTTAAAAAGAGAGAAGGTGGGTTTATGAACTGCGACTTTGATATCCTAAAGTAGGCACTCTTTAAAAGACACGAGTCTGAGAGGAGCGTCTGGCTCATAGTTTGATCTGCACTGCCTCATCACCACTTGGTATGCGATCATTGTTCATTTAGTTCCATAGTTCATTTATTTGGTATAGCCCTGTGAGCCATTCGGTTCTTGAATCGGGTGCAACCCCAACAAACAAAAACATGAAAAAGAAAACATCTTAAAGTGACTATGCGACTGTGCAAACAACATCCAGGAAAAAAAACATAATAATATTCCTGAAATAGCACCGTACACCAATGCTGTGTGCAAAAATCCCAGTGGGATGCAAGTCAAATAACAACAACCACATTACAAATAGTCTCTACAACAAACATTTTTTCGAGACATCCCGCATTGCAATTGGAACCTTTTACTGGCAGGAACCTCTGGTCACACCACCAGCCCACAGGGGATTATTGTGTCCGTCCGTCGTGCAGCCAAAAATGGGAGGGGTGGGGCTGGGTGGAGAGGGGAGGGTGGGGAGGGGCTGGGTGGGGAGGGGCTGGGTGGGGAGGAGAGGGTGGGGAGGGGAGGGAGGGGAGGGGCTGGGTGGGGAGGGGCTGAGTGGGGAGGGGAGGGAGGGAGGGGCTGGGTGGGGAGGGGAGGGTGGGGCTGGGTGGGTAGGGGAGGGTGGGGAGGGGCTGGGTGGGGAGGGAGGGGCTGGGTGGGGAGGGTGGGGCTGGGTAGAGAGGGGAAGGTGGTGATGGGCTGGGTGGGGAGGGTGGGGCTGGGTGGGGAGGGTGGGGCTGGGTAGAGAGGGGAAGGTGGTGATGGGCTGGGTGGGAAGGGTGGGGCTGGGTGGGGAGGGGAGGGTCGGGAGGGTGGGGAGGGGCTGGGTGGGGAGGGTGGGGCTGGGTGGGGAGTGGGAGGGGTGGGGCCGGGTGGGGAGGGGCTGGTCACCCCGTGGTGCCCTTATAAAACTCAACGTTTAACCTACCCACGCCGGCTTGTGCCCGCCCTCACAGTCGGGCATATTTGCGGAATACACCACGCCGTCGTTGACCCTGCCAACTGACCGAGCAACCCAAACTTTCCTACCAGCTCCCTCCGCAGGAATGTGTTTTTAATAGACAGTACCGTACTCAAAACAAATTGAGAAACAATTATGAAACACTACATCGAAGAAGAGCCACCCATGCTTCTTCAGGGTATCATTGCTCTGCTGTTGGACTATGGTATTGACTCCTCTCTGGAGAGAAAAAATGAAGCAACGGCGAGTTGTGGTGACACCAACGCCACTGACCACGATGACCTCTTGACCTTGACCTGATTTCAGACTGCGAGAGCAGGCAGGCGAGCACGACGCCCAGAAACACAGGAGGCCACAGACGCCATTCCCCCACCCAGCGACCGTGGTTCCGCTTCAGCCAGCAGCCAGGTGAGCTTTATGCTTGGTTTATATAATGTAAATGTAACTATACAATTAAACAATGTTTATTTTACCAGGTAAGGCCCACTGAGCTACACAGTTCTTTTTCAAAAGTGACCTGGCCACAAATTATAGCTCAACGCAGTTGCTTATCATGTGGAAATGCATAGCTAAATACTCTAAACGCATGTTGATTCTAAATGTGGAGGGAAAATCTGGAGGACCCGGAGAAAAATCCACATGACCATAGGGACAACATGCAAACTCCAATTATACATGCGTCAGGGTCGGGATTGAACCCAAGAACTGTATAGCAAGCAAGGTAGTTAACATCTCACCATATATGCTTTATTTGTTATACCAATTGCATTGCCATGTTCCTGTTGCCATCATGTAATGAGATGAAGAAATTCCCCTTTGGAATTCTCACGAGGAACAGAGTAACATCACTTCATATGAGAACACGCCAGAAAATAACATGACACAATTACATTTGAAGCCACTTCACTCAACCTCTTCCACACTAAGTATTGTGGCCTTAGATGCCCTGTAAAAACTTAGATCGCAGTCAAAATGATATTTTTTCATGACTAAAGTTTTTGGTTTTTAAGTGACCAATGGAAATTCACGTCATTAATAACCAGGCTGAGACAATAAACTTGGGGATGATGAGAACCTGCTTTAATCACAGGTGGCTGAAACTCTCTTTCCAACCTGGGATATCAGTGGTCTCAACACAGTACTATGACGTGACATTAGCCTTCTGAGCTGCCCAGTAACCTCCTTGGTGATATTTTAGGCACAGAAACCTACTAAGGTGGTTGGGTAGATTGTGGGGGCTTGTAATGCCTGTGTTAGAGCACTGAACCAGCATCGTTGAGATTCTGTTTTTAAATTACAGTTGGCTACTTGAGAGTGCATCAGGTTCCCAAGCCTTTGTTAACCTAATTTAGAAAGCAGTATTTACATATTTCATATATTTGCATTTAAAAACTGATTTCCAATTAACATGAGGCTTCGGCGGTTCCGAGTCGCTCGTTAAACTTTGTAGACATGTATTTTTGAAGCGCATTCAATGCTTTTCACATGCATGTAAGCGAGCCTCAATGCATCGGGCATTTGATAGCAGACGATGTCAGCAAATACCCCAATAAAATATAATGGTATTTCGGGTCATCTTCCATTTCTCCTTATATTTTATTCTAAATGAAAGTAAATCTATTTATAATTATTGTGTCCTCTAAGCTAACTGGCCATCTTCCAGTATCACTCCTGAGGGACTCACATTGACCTAAGTTAATATTCAAACCATTCACCAAGGATCTGCCATTGAGTTCGTCTGGTTGTTACATTCAGAATGTAATACATCACAAAATTATCGCGTGCCAGAAATTAACACTAGATTTTGAGAATATGCCTTCATCCATGACTTTCATGAACTTGGCGTATATTTTACAAATAATATCTGTTCCCTTTCAAGGAGCTTTATAATACTTAGAAAATGTGATTGCAAATTCTTTTGATTATGGTTCTACCTCACTATATTGTAGAATTTGTTCGTGCACTTTCTGTTAATACATCTCCAATAATTGTTTTGACTTGATTTAATCTTAAAGGTACAGTGAGGGAAAAAAAGTATTTGATCCCCTGCTGATTTTGTACGTTTGCCCACAGACATAGAAATGATCAGTCTATAATTTTAATGGTAGGTTTATTTGAACAGTAAGAGACAGAATAACAACAAAAAAATCCAGGAAAACGCATGTCAAAAATGTTATAAATTGATTTGCATTTTAATGAGGGAAATAAGTATTTGACCCCCTCTCAATCAGAAAGATTTCTGGCTCCCAGGTGTCTTTTATACAGGTAACGACCTGAGATTAGGAGCACACTCTTAAAGGGAGTGCTCCTAATCTCAGCTTGTTATCTGTATAAAAGTCACCTGTCCACAGAAGCAATCAATCAATCAGATTGCAAACTCTCCACCATGGCCAAGAACAAAGAGCTCTCCAAGGATGTCAGGGACAAGATTGTAGACCTACACAAGGCTGGAATGGGCTACAAGATCATTGCCAAGCAGCTTGGTGAGAAGGTGACAACAGTTGGTGCGATTATTCGCAAATGGAAGAAACACAAAAGAACTGTCAATCTCCCTCGGCCTGGGGCTCCATGCAAGATCTCACCTCGTGGAGTTGTAATGATCATGAGAACGGTGAGGAATCAGCCCAGAACTACACGGGAGGATCTTGTCAATGATTTCAAGGCAGCTGGGACCATAGTCACCAATAAAACAATTGGTAACACACTACGCCGTGAAGGACTGAAACCTTGCAGCGCCCGCAAGGTCCCCCTGCTCAAGAAAGCACATATACATGCCCGTCTGAAGTTTGCCAATGAACATCTGAATGATACAGAGGACAACTGGGTGAAAATGTTGTGGTCAGATGAGACCAAAATGGAGCTCTTCGGCATCAACTCAACTCGCCGTGTTTGGAGGAGGAGGAATGCTGCCTATGACCCCAAGAACACCATCCCCACCGTCAAACATGGAGGTGGAAACATTATGCTTTGGGGGTGTTTTTCTGCTAAGGGGACAGGACAACTTCACCGCATCAAAGGAACGATGGACAGGGCCATGTACCATCAAATCTTGGGTAAGAACCTCCTTCCCTCAGCCAGGGCATTGAAAATGGGTCGTGGATGGGTATTCCAGCATGACAATGACCCAAAACACACGGCCAAGGCAACAATGGAGTGGCTCAAGAAGAAGCACATTAAGGTCCTGGAGTGGCCTAGCCAGTCTCCAGACCTTAATCCCATAGAAAATCTGTGGAGGGAGCTGAAGGTTCGAGTTGCCAAACGTCAGCCTCGAAACCTTAATGACTTGGAGAAGATCTGCAAAGAGGAGTGGGACAAAATCCCTCCTGAGATGTGTGCAAACCTGGTGGCCAACTACAAGAAACGTCTGACCTCTGTGATTGCCCACAAGGGTTTTGCCACCAAGTACTAAATAATGTTTTGCAGAGGGGTCAAATACTTATTTCCCTCATTACAATGCAAATCAATTTATAACATTTTTGACATGCGTTTTTCTGGATTTTTTGTTGTTGTTATTCTGTCTCTCACTGTTCAAATAAACCTACCATTAAAATTATAGACTGATAATTTCTTTGTCAGTGGGCAACGTACAAAATCAGCAGGGGATCAAATACTTTTTTTCCTTCACTGTATATTAATGTTGTTTTCCAATGACTATGTCTTTTTGTACAACTTTTGTTTTTGAGTTGAAACAGAGACCCGTATCTCCCTTGAAAAAGGGACTTGTAGTCTCAGTGGGCCCTTGCCAGCATGAAATAAGGGAAATGGACAATAATTGTCCTATTGGAAAACTGGCGATCATCATGGAATATGGGATTTTCACCACTGGCTTTGGGCTGTAAATGTAAATTAAAACCATCCCATGCTCATTCACACACTGACTTTGATACTCAAAGTGTTGTTGCATTGACTTTTGTTTTGGTTTTTAACATTGAGTGTGATGCCTCTGGTATTGTATGGTCTCCGTGTGTGTTTCTGTCATCGCTCTGATTTGCTCCGATCACTATGCATTTTTTCCCTGTGTTTACTCACGCTATGTTACCGTTATGTTCGATGTGTGTGGCTGTAAAAGGAGGATGAAAACGAAGAGGTATTTCGCTCGTGTTGATGGGGGCTTGTGTTTTAACACTAAACTCTATGTAATTGCCACTGTCAGATTTAATCTTTCACAAGAGGGCACACGCAGTACACCAGCCATACAAAATATCAATTACTTTTGAATATCATTAATCTCTCATTTCTTGGTATTTGTTTTTTTAAGTTTCTGTTACATAGTTATATGTAACCAATCGCATGCACATGATTGTGGTAGTTTGATTTTTTGAAATTCTTAGGATGTGCCTGCTTATTTTCTCTCTATAAAATTAATATTCCCACTCTGTCTTTACAGTGTCTTGCGATGCGTTTGGTTTTAGAAACTAAAACAAATCCACATTTGATCTTATCTTATTCATACCAGGAATGATTCCATTAACACAAATACAGTAATATGATTCTAAGCACCCATAATTATACTTTTAAATATACTTTTACATTCAGTTATTTGGTTTAAAGATAACAAAATCCACTTTTTAACTGAACATTTCCCTTCGTTGTAGCACCATTGTCAGGCCGTTAACCTTTATATTACCCCTCGGGGCTCTAAAATAAACATTTTGCTGTGATGATTTGCAGAGCTGTCTTACGTTCCTGGTCAATTGTTTTTCTGCTGCCCATTGAGGATGGTGATGGTGTTCATGGTGGTGGTCAACGTCATGATGAGATTTTTTATAGCGATGATGAGCCTGATAATAATGATTACAGTGGTGATGATCATGATCAGGATTGTAATGATAATGCTGATGATAATGGTGATGGGGATAATGGTGATGGTGACAATGAAGTTGGATACACAGAGACATGTGAGGTATGTGTGATGTTGGAGGTGTTCATTGGGTTACTCATTTGACTTTGCTCAAAAAGTGTTGCACCAGTACAATAAATGATCTTCATCCTTTTTATTGGAAAACCCAATGAGTACGTTGCCAACAATAAGGCTGAGCTCTCAGCAGCTTAACTAATACTTCAAAATGCCAAGGCAGTAAGAGGAAATGCACTATCAAATGGCCTTAATACTACCTTTCTTAAGGGAGCCAATAGGTCACTTAATTCCATTCCTTGAAAATACATTGTCCATCTGCCCATCCATTTCTATGAGGGTACTTTAAAAAATACCCAAACTCGAAAACATCCTGTAAACAATCTCTACAAAATTGACCAAACAGCTTCCTATGGCCAATGTCCAAATTTCTATATAGGTTTTTATGAAATATTGCCAACAAAATGCTTTCCATAAACAGTTTTTTTAATGAACATTGTGCTGCATACCAGCACGATTTCCGCACATTAGCATGCGTGTAAACACTTGTGTTGAATTAAATTAAGGCTCCCTTAATGAATTGTTTGGCCAGCTTGTTTTTGTATATATACTGCCTGTATATATATGCATATTCCTATATATACACAGGACCATGCCCAGATCACCAGAAATGTGTCCAATCTTGTTGGATATCAGAAGCTAAGCAGGTTTTAGCCTTGTTAGTGCTTGGATGGGCAACCACCATGCGTAAAAGGGGGTGATTCATTGTGTGCAGCAAAATACATTGTTGAACTATACTTCTATGGGCTGCCCACTTTCACCAACCCACACTGACTAGCATGGCGAAGTATAGTAAAATAACTCTCCATGACCTGCATGGCATGTATAGGCACTCATCCAGTAGTAGATTGGCAAAGCGGAGTACGTGTAACTTTATATCGGGTATATAATGCAATTATTAAATAACCAAATCCAGTATGACACAATTTCCAGTGTGTAATGGGATTACCTTTACTTAGCAAGTACCAGTTGAATACTTTTATGATTACCATGTTTTAATGAGAATGTATAAACGATTCGAAGTCATTTAAATGTGGAAAATTATATTGCCATCAGCTTGGGCTATTGCAAGCACAGGAGCATCCACTGCAGACAGATGGTGTAACAAAAGGGTTTTTTGTTATTGGGTAGTAAGTGTTATTTTCTAATTGCTTATGCCTCGAAGTTACAGCAAATGGCTATTATTATTCCCCACACACTTTGCTTTTGTGACCAGGACACAAAAGCAAAGTTAATAATCCACTCCATTAATAACACTGTGGAACAAATTTATGTATTTTTTTTGTTCCTGGGTAGTAAGTGTTATTTTCTAATTGCTTATGCCTCACAATTACAGAAAATTTATATTATTTACCTATATTCAATGAGAAAACGTGGTGTGCATGTGTCATTCCTTCACGTAAAGTCCTGGTCACAGAAACAAAGTTTTTGGGGAAAAATAGCCATTTTCTATACTTTTGAGGCATAAGCAATTAGGAAATAACACTACCCAGGAACAAAAATCGTGTTTGACGATACAAAACCCACAGTCATAATATAATGGTATTGTTTTGTAAGTAATATCAACCTAATGCATGTTATTTCGACAAAAGTAATCATAAAAGTCACAAAGCAGTCCCATTACATTACTTTGAAAACACCAGATCTATATGAGATGTTACATTGTGAAATCACGAGTTATAAGTTCTATAATCAGAAAGTGATTAAAGTGTTTCATGTTCACTCTTAGGTACCTGGAGGGTAGTTTAATGGGAGTAGAATAGGATTAGAAGGGGAGAGGTAGGTACGAGTGAGTCCAACTGAGGATGTTGAGGATGGTGAGGGCGATGTTGTAGTTCAGGGGTGGGCACATTTTTTGACTCGCGGGCCACAATGGGTTCTAAAATTTGACAGAGGGGCCGGGCCAGGAACAGATGGATGTAGTGTTTGTGTGAACTAATCTAAATGACGTGTAAAAAATCATTACATGAAAGGATTTGGCCTTTAACAGGTATCAAGGCATTTATTTGCAAGGCAATTTAACAAATTGCACGAACATGAACAATACAAAAACATGTCGTAACGTGACTGATCAAACATCATGAAAGCATCTGAGACCTGCGCCCAAACCAATTACCACACTCCCGGTCAAAGTGCGCCATCTAATGGGGAAATGGGGGCATTACAGGAGAAAGGTAAAATTTAATTTAATAATAATATTTGGACAAGTTCGGCAGGCCGGATTAAAAAGCCCAACGGGCCGTATACGGCCCGGGTGCCGTACTTTGGTCTGGGATTGCATAGGGAGCCAGCAGGATGATCGTCATTTTGAGGTGAATTAGTCTCATTTGTGAGTGTGGGTGAGAAGTCTGGTGGTGGCCGGGTAGGGAGCAACAGTGGGGATCGGTAGTGGTGTAGTGGTTAGCGTGCTGTGCTATGAACCCGGCGACCCGAGTTCGATTCCCGCTCACGGTCAACACACGTGACGATTATCTAAACCGGTCTGGGGCCTCCTCCCCTAGGTCGACTTAGTCTCAAATGAGTACCTGGTGCGGTGTGTAAACATCGCCACTGGGGAGACAAAGGCGGTCGGGCCTGGTGCTGGCCACCCACCCCCTCGTGTACCATGCTGGCCTTCATAGGTGCTTGCTAGCAGCACTTGCCCCAACAGTCTGTTGAGGCTATACGAGGGATATTTGTCTTTTGGTGGTCTGGTGTTTCATGTGGAAAGAAGCAGGAGTCAAGTTGCAGTGATATGGCTTTCTCACCGATTTTCATCATTTCCCCTGTCGCAGTCTCCTGGACCCCCACCCAAGCCGTCACGACGCCATGGAGGGTGGGCCCAGGACTCGGCAGGGTCGGCCAGGTGAGTCAGGACCTTCATTTTCACCTAAAGACTCCCACTGGTATCCACAGGACACGATCCTGTACTGTATAACATCTGCACCATCGCATGAAGCCCATTAAATAGACCCTAACAGCTCATTGAGCCCTTTCTTCTGAAGTAAATAAAATCGAAATATAAAATCTAAATCCTAAGCATACACAAAGGCAAATCACAACAATTCACACGATATATTCCTAATGCTGACCCTCATTCTTTAAGGTCAGCAATTACTATTTCTAACACTCCCAAAGCAATCAGTTGATTCAACCCAGCTCGGTTGGGTTCAGATTCAAATGATTGTATAATATTATATTACGGCATACTGTAACTCTTAGAAAAACATCACAAAGCACTTGTCCTCTGTTTTAGTTGCTCTATCAATGATTTAAGTTAGGTTTGGTGATAAATGTTACGTTTCTTTTTTCAGCTCCACCAATTAATCGCTGAGAATCTATCCTTATGCTTCACAATACGTGGGATCGTGCTTTTTGAGAATACTATTAATATTTTTGTGACTTAATATACATTTACAAACACAAATTGCTTTCACATAATCCAACTGAACAATTTTTATTTGTTGAGATTCTAATGCTGTTCACTTCTGAATCGGTAAATAGTTATTCGATTTAACAGAATATGCAATCAGATGGGGCAAAAATCAGGCCAATTGTTATTACGAACTGAACCGATGGTACACCCCTAGTGGTTATCATAATACGAACTGATCCAAACACTGAGTGCACAGCAGAATTTCTGAATTTAAGGAATGTACCTCTAGATGGTGCCAGACTACACAAAAAAACCTCACTCCCGCACATGAATCTGTTGTATAAAATACAAACATCACCAGTACAGCCATATAGACTCGAGGTCAAAGTGCTGATAGTGAACGCCTCCAAAGGTCGGCACAGCACACAAAACGGTTGTGTGACCAGCACCGTGCCTGATTTCCTTTGTCTGTCCAGAGCTGATATTCATACACTGCACCCTTTAATCATCATCAGTCAAGGTCAGTCCACTGCTGGATGAAGGCCTCCATAAGCCATTGCTATCACTCATAATCCTGTTATATAACAATCCAGACTAGCAGCTGCACATAAGCTGATTTAATCAATGGAGGAATGCACCATTTTAAGGCTGAGTTAATCTAACAGAGGGACAGGATAGATTAACTTACCGCTTGCCACTGGTGGTTTCTATGGTCAGGAATTGAACCCAGGTTTATGGAATGCAATGCGGTATCACTATCTCTCATATAGCCTGGAACAGACTGTTGGGGCAAGTACTGTTAGCGAGTGCCTATGAAGCTCGGCATGGCACACGAGGGGGTGGGTGGCTAACACCGTCTTCGTCTCCCCAGTGGCGATGTTTACACACCGGACCAGGTAATAATTTGAAGCTGAGTCGACCTAGAGGAGGCCCAGGACTGGTTTTGATAATCATCACTGGTGTTTGCCATGAGCGGGAATCGAACTCGGGTTTCTGGGTTTGTGGCACAGCATGATAACTGTTACACTACTACCACTCGCCACTGTATACACTTGTGCATGCATACACACAGCTCCTACTATGAAGTATGGAGAATCAAATTTCATGCAAACACAACGTTACTGTGACTGAATTCCACTATATTTCTGTGTATGTAGTAGCATGAGGTGGCTGGATGACTGAATGGACTCATTGGTCGTATTCTAGCACGGAGCCAGCACCATTGATTCCAAGTTTCAGATGGCCACGATTAAACTGGGTTATCATGTGTCATGAGTTGATGACCTCAGCCTTGGTTATCAATAACTGCGTGCAAACAAATAATCTTATTAACTTGATTTGTCTCTTTATTTGAATAATTGCAGCTCAGTGGATGGAAACAAGTATTATGTGTGCGATTAGTACCCGTGTAAAATGCCAAAATAATAAGATGGGACAGTGGGCAATGAGAGTGCAGTGCAGCAACATCATTGCTGTACTGTACGTCTATGTGCACATGCCTGTGCTGTCGACCTTCAACCGTACATGTCTATACTGTCCACTTTTAACGACCAGCTTGGTTAAGTATGGTTAAATAAGTATGGTAAATGAACCATACTTACCCAAGCACAACTCTGAAGTTCGTTATTTAACCATACTTAACCACAACTCACAAAACAAAGGGTGGGGGGGGGGCTTACCTCATCCAGCAGTGGATTGACAAAAGGGCTGTAATAATGTACAAGGCTGATAAGGTTAAGTTGACCCCCGACTGTGATTAGAATGTGCAGACTCCTAATATGTCACTTGAGTACTTGAACCACTGCGCCACCTAGACAGTGATTATCATTCAGGGTCAAATGCACATCTGTTACACCTGTCCATCCTATCCGCCTTTTCTCTCTACCTCCTCCTCTTGCATTCAGGTCGGGAAAAATACGGAGTGCTGGATCGGTGGATGTGGAGGAGTAAGTTGTGGTGATTTTTTTTTAAAGTGAAACTTACTACATAACTCTGAAGTTTGTATCACTCCACACATTGCAAACATGCTGGCAGTGATGCACGTGTTGAACTGGATACGTTACTGGGGCAAGTGCTGTTAGATAAAGCAATTTTCAAAGATAACGGCAATGATCCCCAATGTAGCCCTATAGGCTCCAGGCGCAAGTGTTGTTTGCGAACATTTATAAAGGGTGGCGTAGCACGCATTAAGGTGGTCTGGCTAGAAACATGCCCTTCTACCGCTGTCTGTCCAGTTCTGTTGTTCACACACCACGTCATATAAATAATGTACATCTGAGTTGACCTCGGAGAGGGCCAAGACTCTTTCCACTGAAACTAAACTGAATTATTTTAATTTTACCAGATGAGGCCCACTGAGGTATAGAGCTCTTTCAAAAGTGACCTGGCCGCAAATTATAGCCCAAATCATGTGGCTTATGATGTGGAAATTTATAGCAGCCAAATATTCTAAACTTTCGTTGATTCGAAATGTGGAGGTAAAAACCGGAGGATCCGGAGAAAAATCCACATGACCACAGGAAGAGAGATATGCAAACTCCAAATATACAGGCATCAGGGTCAGGATCGAACCCACGATCTGTATACCAGGCGAGTCAGTTAATATCTCGCCACCGGCGCCACTCATGTGCAGTCAATTGTTGAACTTGGCTTTGAAGATCCATACCACAATGGCGTTAGAAAACACCATATTCACGAAGAGAAAGATCCTCCATGTAGCTTTAACAGATTGTTGGGGCAAGTGCTATTACCAAGCACCTAGGAAGGCTGGTAAGCCGCACGAGCAGATAGGTGGCCAGGATCACGACCTTTATCTCCCTCGTGCAGATATTCACACATCACCACGAGGGAGACTCAGGTTGCCGGGTTTATAGCGTTGTGTGCTAACTGCTAAACAAACACAAAGATTCCCCATATAGCCTTTATAAACTTTGGGGGCAAGTGCTGTTAGTGAGCACCTATGAAGCCTGGCGTTGAGCACGAGGGGGTGGGTTTTTGGCCAGCACCACGCCCGTCCACGTTTGTCTCCCGAGTGGTGATGTGTTCACACCACACCAGGTACTCATTTGAGGCCGAGTTGATTTAGGGTACGCCCAGGACTGGATCAGATAATCCTCACTGTTGTTGGCTGTGAGCGAGAATCGAACTCGGGTCATCGGCTTTGTAGCACAGCACGCTAACTGCTGCACTACCACTCTGCTACACTACTGCATTTTTACACAGATATATGTACACATACTCTACAAAAACAACCGTAGTTCGCCACTAAGTGGGGGTAACGTCACCATGGCGCTTGTGCCAGGCTAGGTGAACTACAAAGACTGTACCGCAGCACGCTAACTGCTATACTACTGTTCCCCAAAGACAAAGATCCCCCATATAGTCTTAACAGACTGTTGAGGCAAATGCTGTTAGCGAGCACCTATTAAGGCTGGCACATCACACGAGGGGGTGGGTGGCCAGCACCATGCCCGGCCGCCTTTGTGTCCCCAGTGGGAATGTTTACACATCACACCAGGTCGTACTTTGAGGCTGAGTCGACCTAGGGGAGGCCCAGGACCGGTTCAGATAATTGTCACTGGCGTTGGCCATGGGCTGGACTCAAACTCGGGTTGCCAGATTCGCAGTGCAGCGTGCTAACCCTTACACTACTGCTCCCCACATATATATTCGAACATATACGTTCATACACACACATGTGCATATGCACACATACAGACACATATATATGTACACTTATACAGGCACATGCAATACACACACGAGGCTAGAAGGGGTTAAGGCCCTGCGGCCCGTGTCTCCCTTCCATGCCCGGCCAACAAAGGCAAGTGGGTTAGTGAGATGTTCCCGGAGATAACCGCAAGATGGGACTTTATCGATTTAACGTCACAGAGGGGCTGAGTTTTGTGTATATATATTTTTTTAACTGGGCTTTCGTTGATGGCCCGTTGTACGCGTGTCCTGTGTCCTGTGTGTGTCACGCGTGTGTCCCATGTACAGCACCAGATTGCGGCAGGCCAGCCCAGAGCCATCTGAAGACGGAGGTGGGTCACCCGCGATACTGCAGGGCAGGGTGGTTCCATGAAACTTCTGTGAGCCGCTCTGTGTAATAGTCCTTGGTAGAAAGGCGATACAATACTACATAGATCATCCTTAAGGAGCGGGAGGCGGGGTACTGAGAAACTGTTATGAATAGATAAAATGGCATTTATTTATCTTGGAAAGCCTCACTGAGTCTCAAGACTCATTTTCAGGAGGGTGCTGCATTGCTATATTTTTCATGAGTGTGTGCATGTGGGACAAAACCAGAGTACATGGAGAAAATCCGTCCATGTGAAGTGATAGCAATCAAATGATCACAGCCTGGTTTAAACCCAAATGTTTGTACTGCTACTGCCTGACCACCTCAGCAGACCAGCATGTTTTGGAGTATTACAGCACCCAATGATCTATGTGCGATCCACCAACCCCTGCCTCCAAAGTGCTGAATTGCAGACATGTGCCACCATACCCATAAAAAATGCTCACATACAGTGTCTATTGTATTGCTTAATAAAAGTGATGGCAGTAGAACATTTCATTTTTTTTACATATAGTGGAAATGCAGGATTGCATTGCACTCCACATTGATCTCTTATGGGGATAAAACCGCTAAATGTTTGGCAAGTAGGGTAGCAGAGCTGTCCTATAACGATGATCCAATATAGAGAAACAACTATCCCCTTGCCACAAATTTCTACAGGGTTACACCATATTGAGAATTGTTAAGGGGAATGAAACTTTGACACTATTAATGTAAGGAGATCCCTAATAAGTCGCAAACAGGTAGACACTAGTCATGTAGGCAAGCACCGATAATACAAACAAAAAGAAAAACTGGCATGTACAGAAGGGCCGAAATGCTCGGATGGTTTCTTGTAATTGAGAAATGGATAAACCAATGCCATGCTGCTCTCAGAGTCAATGCGTCTCCCGGCTCCAAAAGCATTGGGTGGCCTTGAATCAGTGGTGGGAATTCCACATTTAGCACGGTCCCACACTTTGGTTTAGCACGGTGTGGCTATCTACGGTGCGAAAGAAGTTCAACATACGTACTTTGACCACTGTTGACTTCCCATAAAGCGCTCCTCGTTTTATTTTTCCTGGAGTAAATGATAAGCTGATCTGATTTGAACTCTCAACCTTCCAAATATTTCTTGAGCTCTCTTAACACCAGTAATCAATTGGCCAGATCGCCTGTACATATGCTTTATATAGTGTATCAAAATATAACGCCCAACTCAGTCTCAATCCACTTTTAGATTAAGGCTTTCCCACACCACGCTGGTCATGGGGGTTGTTTGACCATGCTTCACCATGCTGGTTAGTGCAGGTTGGTGAAGTGCAATGCCCAGGGCTGGTTCATACATCGCACACCACTGATGTTAGCCATTATCAGGAATTGAACTCAGACGGCTTGGTTTCAGTGTAGTGCATTAACCACTGCACCATCACTCCACCTCTACGTATACTCTGTACATTGCTGCATATATCATACAGTGAGGGAAAAAAGTATTTGATCCCCTGCTGATTTTGTACGTTTGCCCACAGACAAAGAAATGATCAGTCTATAATTTTAACGGTAGGTTTATTTGAACAGTGAGAAACAGAATAACAACAAAAAAATCCAGAAAAACGCATGTCAAAATGTTATACATTTATTTGCATTTTAATGAGGGAAATAAGTATTTGACCCCCTCTCAATCAGAAAGATTTCTGGCTCCCAGGTGTCTTTTATACAGGTAACAAGCTGAGATTAGGAGCACACTCTTAAAGAGAGTGCTCTTAAAGAGAGTGCTCATAATCTCAGCTTGTTACCTGTATAAAAGACACCTGTCCACAGAAGCAATCAATCAATCAGATTCCAAACTCTCCACCATGGCCAAGACCAAAGAGCTCTCCAAGGATGTCAGGGACGAGATTGTAGACCTACACAAGGCTGGAATGGGCTACAAGACCATTTCCAAGCAGCTTGGTGAGAAGGTGACAACAGTTGGTGCGATTATTCGCAAATGGAAGAAACACAAACGAACTGTCAATCTCCCTCGGCCTGGGGCTCCATGCAAGATCTCACTTGGTGGAGTTGCAATGATCATGAGAACGGTGAGGAATCAGCCCAGAACTACACGGGAGGATCTTGTCAATGATCTGAAGGCAGCTGGGACCATAGTCACCAAGAAAACAATTGGTAACACATTACGCCATGAAGGACTGAAATCCTACAGCGCCCGCAAAGTCCCCCTGCTCAAGAAAGCACGTATACATGCCCGTCTGAAGTTTGCCAATGAACATCTGAATGATTCAGAGGACAACTGGGTGAAAGTGTTATGGTCAGATGAGACCAAAATGGAGCTCTTTGGCATCAACTCAACTCGCCGTGTTTGGAGGACGAGGAATGCTGCCTATGACCCCATGAACAGCATCCCCACCGTCAAACATGGAGATGGAAACATTATGCTTTGGGGATGTTTTCTGCTAAGGGGACAGGACAACTTCACCGCATCAAAGGGACGATGGACGGGGCCATGTACCGTCAAATCTTAGGTGAGAACCTCCTTCCCTCAGCCAGGGCATTGAAAATGGGTCGTGGATGGGTATTCCAGCATGACAATGACCCAAAACACACGGCCAAGGCAATAAAGGAGTGGCTCAAGAAGAAGCACATTAAGGTCCTGGAGTGGCCTAGCCAGTCTCCAGACCTTAATCCCATAGAAAATCTGTGGAGGGAGCTGAAGGTTCGAGTTGCCAAACGTCAGCCTCGAAACCTTAATGACTTGGAGAAGAGCTGCAAAGAGGAGTGGGACAAAATCCCTCCTGAGATGTGTGCAAACCTGGTGGCCAACTACAAGAAACGTCTGACCTCTGCGATTGCCAACAAGGGTTTTGCCACCAAGTACTAAGTCATGTTTTGCAGAGGGGTCAAATACTTATTTCCCTCATTAAAATGCAAATCAATTTATAACATTTTTGACATGCGTTTTTCCGGATTTTGTTGTTGTTATTCTGTCTCTCACTGTTCAAATAACCCTACCATTAAAATGATAGACTGATCATTTCTTTGTCAGTGGGCAAACGTACGAAATCAGCAGGGGATCAAATACTTTTTTCCCTCACTGTATGTGGCCAGGTTTTGTGCCATTGTTTGCTTTTGTTACCACTACATTTTTATTGCCACAGTTTTATAAACTGTCAGATTGTCTATTTACTGATTACTTGCTAATCGAGGCTCTATATCTGTTTACTGAGTAGTAGATAATTCCTCTGGACCAAACGTGCCACAGGGTGGCTTATGGGTGATAGTAATGATGACATACAAAACACACACACACATACACACAAGTTAGAGCTCAGAAACCGCTTGTGATGAATAGCATGTCGTACGTGGGCTGCACTATTTCTCAGCACCGACCACCCCATTAATCACTGCCCCACACCCCCGGGTGACTCCTAAGCCCACCGTGTGTCTCCCCACTCCATCTCCTTCTCGCCCATCCACCCCACAGTTTGGCCACTTTCGATTTTTTTTTCCCACTTAGCAGCACATCATCAGGCAGCAGTCAATAGCGGCTGCTAATCACGACGTGCCTTAGTATCCTTAGTTTTTTTGTTTATTACTGAATTACCCACACTGCTTTGCAGCCGTGCCTTGTGGGTAGAAAAATCGAAGTGTCTCCTTGCTCTCAAATATGGGAGAGGCGATGCTCATTTTAATTGGCAACTTTGAGCCATTGGTGGAAATGCCACATTATCATGATGGGAGCCAGTGTATCCATAAGACAGCCACGGTTCACCTTCCACACAGTTACACTTGTTTTAGCAACTCAGAGGGATGATGAGTGATGGGCATACACTTAGGTTTCCTACAATGATTAATACATGAGTTGAGTACATATGTGTAAAAATATATATGCCAAATATATCCGGAGGTCGAATGTCAGCCTCGGTGAACTTAGCCCTATTATCATTATCCTCACTGATTTAAAATTGCAACACGAGGGAGCACAAAGACATTTGTTATAATCCTTGAGATTGGTTACCTCCACACATTCTCATACGAAAATTTGTTAATTCTCCAGGGTCTAAGGTTGACAATACCAATGTCATTTGTCAATAACCTTCCAGTGGTCATTCTGGTTCCACCCACCGAGACTGCATTTGTTAACAATAGATAATTTCTGTAGAAGTGGAAGATTACACACAGACAGACATTTTGACACTTTGGCATTGTGGTCAGAGAGCTCAACTTTCAATGTCAAGGTCACAAGTTGTACCAGGCACAGCGGTGCATGCCTGTAATCCAGCACTTGGAGGCAAGTTTTGGTGGATCACGTAGATTTGTAAAACTCCGAAAACCGCTCTGCTGCAAGGTGTCCAGGAGATAGGAGTGCAGCAAATGAATGTTTTTGGTCTATGCGTACAGAGCTTTGAATGTTATCCCTTCACATGCATTGGTTTTTTTCTGAGTTCTCCAGTTTTCTCCCACATGCCAAACACTCATTAATGGAATCGATGACGCTTTCCTGGATAAGGGACTTGATAATTCTATCCCATTGAGGTGGATAAACTCAGCTCTTAATATCTTTGTGGTGCTGTGAAGAGACCAGTTGCTCCCATAATAATGTGGATTTAACACTATCAAATCAAGGCCACTAATGGAGAGGAGTACCGCTCTTTGCTCATTTGAGCGTGGAGTCACTTTGACTTTGATACATAGAGGTGCTAATGTGGAGACTGAATCTATTGACAAGATCGCACTTGGTTGGTCATCGAGTCACAAATAAGTTGATCACGACTAGACAAGACATTGACGAGACATGAACCGCGCCACAACATCTTTGTGTCGTTTTTACAGCGATCATGGTAGCCTCCACCCGACTTGATCGGCCAATCAGGGTCGAGTTTCAGGCAACTTCTAATCTCTCTTGCGTGGTTAAGTCAAGACACCTGTCCCCGTGTTCACAAGTCGACCCTGTTTTGTGCGTTACAGCACCACGGTTATTTTGGCGACAGGACTTGTACACAATGGCCTACTTCTTGGAAAGAACACCTTGTGTTTGCCAACTTATGGAATTTTTCTCTTGCAATGTTCATGTAATTTTTCCATGATGCACTTCTTTTCTGGGCTAAACTGTATTGAAAGCCTTATGACAAATTAGGGAAATGTCTTTTGCAGATAAACTACAGCAAGTGAATCAATAATAACACTGCTAACGGAATTATGACTTAACATTTGGTTGTTCACATGTCTTCTTTCAGAAAAATAAAATACTAAATGTCATATATTTGATGAAAAGCTGCACATGCATAAATATCCTAGAAGTGTCACTGTTATAGGGCTATGTTTCTTGAAAAAGTTTTCTTAACCTTTAAAAATACAATTGCCCTCAATTTACATAACAACCGTCCATATGTGACCCCTGCTTTTGTTTTCGTGTGGCTGTTATTTGTTTTTCTGCCGTAGCAATGCAGCGTTTCTTAATGCAGTCATCAGTCAAAATATAGCAAAACAAATTTCAACCAAAAATTGGTCTGTGCAGGATTATAGTTGAACAGCTCTTGAACTATGTGTGTTAATCGCAAAACATCAGTGGTATCTGTTTTGAGCAGCACGCGATCACATTATACCCGTACATTTCGTGTTGTGAAATCGTGGAGACCGGGAGACGGTGACATGAATATTTAAAAGCCTGCACGTGCTTTGATTTATGTGCGGTTGTTCAAGGTAAGGAGCGGTGTTGAGCAAGGGTGCATCTTGTCACCCACGCTGTCCAGTGTCACATTTGACTATGTGTTCACGAAGACCATTTGTACGGAAGAGGTGGCAGAACACCCAAAAATCACAATTTTTCATTGAGATTTGAGAGTTGCAGTGGGCGGCTTATTGGCTCGGACCTTGGCAGGGGCATTGAAGCTCTTGGCAGTTGTGGATTCTGAGACTGCACACTGATGGGTAAGGTTATCTTCCCAAAAACAAAGTTGACCGCACTGGTTAGGGATGGGCTCTATTTGCCTTTATCACAAGTGTAAGCAGATCCTTACTTGGACAGATAGAACATGTAGTAAAATAGTAAATAATACAGGAGGTTATGAGAAGGTGGCCAGGAGACGTTTTGTATTAGCAGGGTGAATTTTGTTAAACTAAATTAAACTACTGGAAGAATAGAGAGGTCAACTTTAGAACTAAAAGATGGGTGTTGGAGTCTAAGTAATGTCTGTTAGTATACAGGTCAGAGATCTGTACTTTTAACGAAGCAATTCGAAAATACACTTCTCTCCTTCGAATACAGGTGCTTTCTGAGAATACGCTTGAATTTCATAACAACAATATAAGATGATCAACTTGGATGTTAGGATAATGAAGAGGTGGTTGTGATACATGGAGCACTTGTGCTAGATCAAGTAAGGAAAGCAATGAATCGGCACTCGGAGGTCAGCAACCAAGGGGGGAGACCTAAGGTTCGAGCGTGGTGGTAACAAGAGTGTACAACCGCTGTTGACTGATGATTATAATGATGATGACATGAAATAATATGGATTTTTGTACACTGGCCCTGGGCCACCAACTTTACAGAACACTTAAAAAGTGGTGAATATGTGCGCATATGTACATAAATACACTTATATATACGCATACACACTAATGGATGCAAGCACATTAATACGAATGAACACATTGCAAAGACTCAATCACGAACGCATAAGGCTGATACACATGAGAGAGAGAGACTGTAAGTTCATACATATGATACAGCCTCTCTCATTGCGCTCAAGCAGCATTTGTTAAAATAATTTCCTACAAATTTACATTTTGTTCCCCTTTTCCCTCCCAGTGCAGGTGTGCGTCTTGAGCGAGTGAGCGAGCGGGCGCTCGGGAATCAGATTTGGCGGCAGCATAATTTGCACGCCGCCGTGTGGCCTAACGCATTTACGCGCTCCCCGCAGGCCCCCCTAATTGAACAGGTCGCTGGGAGCGCCGCCGCACAGGCCCGTTCGGCCTCCCTCTCGTCCCGCCCCCACCATCCATCACCCGCCCATTATCGCCTGGGTTAATCCCTTTCACGCCTTCCCCTTATTAAATAACACATCTCTATCGGGAGCCGTGACTGCTTTGCTTTTTCCTTTTCGCTATTTTTTTTTTTTTCCTCCACGGAACGTTTCGCGCGGACCCGGCTGCGCCGCTTGCTTGCACGACCCCTTCCGTTCGCGCGATGGCAAATTTCGTTTTCGGAATGAGGTTAGGGTACGGCTGTTTTGCATACGGTTGAGCTACGCTGGAAACTTTTCCATCAGTTTTTTTTAAATTTCTAATTCCATTGCCTGGAGTTCGATCAACACTTTGTAGGTCATTGAGGACTGTGTTGACGCTCTGTGCATCACTGGTGCATGTTCAAGAGCAGCTTGTCGTGCCTATATGTGTTGTTGGTTGCGTTCGTTCATCCACTTCCAAATCACTTTGTTAACTAAACAGCAGTACCGTGGTCAAGTGACAGGTCAAATGGCGGTCATCGTGCCAGATGCGGTATTGGAGATGACGAGGTCGAGCATGTGACCATGGAAGCGAGTGGGTGTTGATATTAATCGGGAGAAGTTGATGGATTGCAAGAGTGACTGGTAGGCAATCAAGATTGAGTGATATGTATCGTCAACAAGCATGCTGATATCGCCAGTACTGATGAGTGGAAAGGAGAAGAGACAAAGCGACAAGGTGAGATTAGAAAAGTCGGACATGATGTTTGGGTTTGACTTTGGTTGAAGGTAGCTGATGGAGAAGTTGAGGTTGGAGGGCAGTAAGACAGGTGCAGGAAGAGATGATGCAAAGAGGTGTAATTTTTGGGAGGTTGCAATTGAATATATACAGTCGGGTTTAGAGATGATAGCAATTCCATCACACCTGCTGCAGGAGCAAACAACGCTTCCCAAGGTGGTAGCCAGGAGAAGGGATGCAGAGTGGGAGTATAACTCGGAGGGTTTGTACGAATTAAAAACAAAGCGCTCGCTGTGTGCTCTCTCAGCAGACATCCCCGTTATACCCGACCTGGATGATATGCAAGAAGACGACCTGACCGCCCAGGTGGCTGCCCCACCCAGGTAAGAAGCTGCCGATAATCAACGGCAGTGGAAACCCGACAAACAAAAGACTCGCCTTGGAGCTGTGTGCCTACGAGCAAATCAAGAATGCACAAATCTCTGGAGCTCAATGCAGTTGAGCCTGGACAGTGCTTGGATGAGTGGATGTCTGTGGGGCTACTTTTGTGGCCAACATGCCACTGCAGCAGAGTTTCATTGTATTATTGTACTTCTTTGGGCCCACGCCTTCACAAACCCGCACTGACTAGCATACGGCGTGGAGCGGCCATTATCCAGAAGCTGATCCGAGCATTTCCCAGGTTCGACGCTGCTTAGTTTCCGAGATCTGACGAGATTGGGCATAACATGCGTGATTTCATTCATTCGTTCATCACGCGTAGTCAGCGAAGGACCGTAGCGCCAAACGTGTGAGCTCTTGTGACAACATCCACATAAACTGCTCTTGCTGCCATACTAATGTCTCAAGTAATTTGTTTGATCCACGTATATGTTGCTGTGCTCTACGCCCCCCATACCCAATGGGAGTAGAGTATTCTGGGTAACCCAACGTCTAATATAGGTGATTTGGTCACAGGCATTTGAGACTGTGTGCCTGAGCGTTATATGGCATTATGTGCACAGCATGCAGGTGAACCGTGTAATGACTTTCAAGGATCTTGACTCGGACCTCATGACGCACGCTGCTTTCCAGACACTGGTAAGTCGCCTTCATCACACACACGCATGGCTCTTCACGTTAACTAAATATTCAGAACATGCACTATATTAGTAGTGAAGCTGTATTTATAACCACGTGAGAGCCATTCAAACTCATACTGCCAGGTTCACAGCCTAGTGCACTGACCATGCCCCTCATTTATTCAGGGCATGATAGTTTCCTCCCACATCCTAAACTACAGAGTATCAATCTGTCAAAACATCCCAAGCAGAATCCTCATCAGAAATAGTGTCAAGGCTGGGTAATGCCATGCTGGGTAGGTGAGGCATCATAATTGTTAGTATAGTAAACCAATAAAAAAACAAAATATAAGCTCCCTCAATGTTATCAATAAACTCTATATACTCTCCAATCAGCTGAGCCACCAACAATAAGTCGTTATATATCAATGCCATATGGCGAAAAATGGTGTTTTCTTCCCTTCCCCTCAACGCCAGCACCATGGACAGCGACGTGGTGCTATATGGTATTCATTATATAGTGTAGTGTATACCCAGTTGCTTTGTGATTAATAGTTCAGCTTATTGAAGAATATATTAAGTACATTTATTATATTGATGTAATATAGATTTCGTTTTTTTTCACATCGGTTTACTTTATGATAGTTGGTAGTTAGAGGCCTTTAGCGTCCATATACTAAATGCCTCTGTTGATATGTAAACTTTGACTTTAACACAGCTATTTCTGTCACAAGCTAATCCCTCAGCTATTTCAATGCTAAATTCTCTTTGCTTTGATAGGTAAACTCCTTTGTCAAGGCTCTCCACGCCTCTCACCGAGCTTAAAAGACGCTACGAATCTTAACAGTGTTCATTCAAGCTCTGTCGTCCCGACAGTTCTGTTCTTTCATCTGAAGAAGGCTACTTGTGTTGTGGCCGAAACGTCGTGAGAATTGTATTGTCTTATTTTATTTTATTATTTTATTCTCATTCTACGTGACTTTACCGAAAGAACCAAAGAAGATGAATCCTTGCAGTCACGAAAGCTTTAAATCGAAAAATCATAATTGTTGTTGGGTGGAGTAAAGGTTGGCAAATCGAACTGAGATGCCAGTGAACCGGTGGCCTGAGTTCACGGCTGACATCAGTGGTGAGTGATATCTGAACTGGCCCTGGGCCCCACCCCCACGACCGACATGGAAATGGGGAGGGGGGGATGCCATCATCCAGCAGTGGATTGACAAAGGGGTGGAAATGGAGAGGCTATGAATACTAAAAGGGAGACGTGGATTAAAATCAAACAACGAAAAACATTTTTTTTTTTTTTACTGGAAATTCACAATGTTAGAACAATGTAGAAAAACAGAAAAGTATAATTTTAAATTGTTCAATCCAATAAAGTATTTCAGAAAAACACTAAGTATAAGACCTAAATGCAGGTGCGTTAATAGATTGTTTACTTTTGAAAACATTTGTAATTTAGAGATGCAGTGAATTAGCTGGGATGGTAATATTTGGAATATGCTTTATTAATACATTTAAACCACTGCAACTTAATTTTTATTGACAATGGAACGAAGCCAGATATATAAACTCTGCAGTGATGGACAAAGTAAATTTGATAAAGAACCCAGTCCTCTGGACTAAAGGCAATGAATGTGCTGAGCGATACTGCCTGGACTTGAATTGGAATAGGACATTTACACAATGGCTACTGCTAATCTCGGTCCACCTTCGAGGGTGGGGCAGGGGGTGCTGCTGGGGGGAGGGGGGGGATGTGAGGGGGGTCGGTGAGCGGTAAACGAATGCCGCTTTATAAATGCGCGTGCGTGTCCATGGCCCCTGGTTACGAGCCCACGCTTATCTTCCGCCCTGTCGGCAAATCTGCTTATTTATTTTCCGGTCACTTCATTGACACCTCCGGCAAAATACAGAGCCAAACAAAAGCAACAAACCCCCCCCCCCCCCCCCACTTTAGCATCCTTCTGTAACGTGGGTGGTAGGCTTGTTGATGCTGCTGCTGCTTTGGCTTGATCACGTGACAAATACACGTGTAAATCCTCTCTAAAAGCAATGATCACGATCATTCATAACTTCTTAATCATTATTTACAGCCGGTCATGGGGTTGGTTTGACCATACTTCGCCATGCTGGTTAGTGCAGATTGGCGAAGGAGGGTTCGTTCGTAGGTATCAGTAATGTTAGCCATGGCGAGGAATCGAACTCAGGTTGCCAGGTTTATAGCGCAAGTATGCGAACCACTGCTTCACCACTTCAACCCCAATGAAAGCTTGGTCGGAAAAATGAATCTGTTGGAGTAATGAACCCATTTCTGTATGCGCAATTACTGACGTCCTTCCGAAGGACGATGCATCATACAGGCAAACGTCAAAGTTATATAGGCACACAGGGCATTGCACATCGCCATCATCGGCGCTGAACCAGAGGTGGAAATTCCCCATTCCTTTGGCGGAGCCCAGTCTCCCCTTTATAACCAAAATATTTAAAAAATTCACGTCAGTTTCAAAATAAGATTAGCATGTAAATTTGCTTCAGATGTTTCTTTGTCTACTCTTAGAATTCTCAACAGGTTATTTTAGTTTTGTTGTTTGAGATTGGGAATTTCCATTGAATGGTAATACTTTTAAAGTGCATAGCTCCAGTGGCTTACTAATAACTTCCTTCCGATATTAGGAAGCCACTGGAGCTATGCACTTTTAAATCTAGATTAAAACTCAAGTCTTTAGAACTAATTTTTGTGTTTAGTATGTTGTCCTTCTCCCGCACCTCCGATTAACACGTTTGGCTACGTATGGTATGAAAGAAGTTCAACATACATAAATCTTGAACATGTCTAAAATGAATACTGCAACAAGAAGGATTTAATCTTGGTTTGAAGCTTTCGTGACTGCAGGAATCCATACTATTTGGTTCTTTCGGTAAAGTCACGTAGGTAGAAAAAAATAACAGATCTGTAATTTTTTTCTACCTACGTGACTTTACCGAAAGAACCAAAGAGTAAGAAGGATTTGTTTTCTTTATTAATTGCGTAATTAATTGATTATTGCAAATTTTACATAATACCATAACCATGACAGTTCACATGCTCATGTTCATGTGGTGCAGACTACACAGTGTAGTCCGGGCATTTGCGAACGAAAGCGCCAGACCTACTACGTGTGCTTAACTAACAGATTCTTTCCCCCGTCATTCAAATCTAGTGCAGAAGCCTTGAAACTTACGCGTATTAAAAGCTGTAACCGTTAGTGAATTGATTTTCCCGGGAAGCACAAATAATTAGAATTATTTCCTCCTTGGTGCCACATTTGTCGTTGTAAGCTTTGTAGTTCAATAAACTATTGAGATACAGAGATAATATACATAAACATTCGAAAAATACATATTCTTTATTTTACCAGGTAAGGCCCCACAGAGCTATATAGCTCTGTTTTGGAAGGGACCTGGCCACAAATGAAAACTCAACGAAGTGGCTTATGTGTAAATTTATAGCAACCAAATATTATAAACGCACGTTTCTAAATGTGGAGGGAAAAACTGGAGGATCCGGAGAAAAATACACCCGACGGCGGAGAGTGCATGCAAACTCCAAATATTCAGGTGTCGGGGTTGGGATCGAACCCACGATCCCCTGTATACCAAGCGAGGTAGTTAATATCTCACCACTGTGGCACCGGATCTACATTCAATTGTTCAACAGTCATCACAGCTCTTCGTATGAGAAACTGAAAATACGAATAAAGCGCCCGTTATCTTGATTGTCCTATGCTTCTTCATTGCCGTCTGCGCGAGCCTTGATTGTTATCTCCTTGTCTGCATGAGTTTTCTCTGGACACTCCCATTTGCTTTCTTCAAGCGAAGGACTTCTGGAAGAAGCCTTGTAACTAAGCAAGCCTTTAAGTGGATATTCTCCTGATAAATCAGTCAATTGAAGAAAAAAACAGTTATAAAAATGTGATGAAAAATAAGAATAGGTTTTACCCTTTCTGGCAATAAAGCAGGTGTTCAGATGTTCATACAACAAATAGATACCTTTTACAAGGCATCAAGTCTGCGTTAACCGCACATCCTTGTGGCAAAACATGCAAACAAACATAGTCTGATATAATAAATGTTTCAAATCATGTTTCCTTATCACATTACATCGCAGTTGCTTATGCGCTTGCGGAACATACGGCTTCTCAGCCGTTACCATCCAGAGAAATCGTAATCACTCCCAATGAACCCGAGCTTAAGCAGTTGAATAAGGAGGCGCGGCATAATCAACGGCACGTTTTCGGCCGTGCATTGTTTTTCTGGCTCTTTAACCCGGCTTCCCAGAAAGACCTTGCCTGGAGCAAGTGAGACACAGGGACGGGGTGAAGAACGGTTCTGCGCCTAGTCCCTCCCCCCCCCCCATATCACCACCCCCCATTCGCTCCTACAACACCCTCTTTCGCCTGCCTCTTGCCGCGTCGCCTGCTCCTTATCGGACTCTTCACGCCCAGGGAAAGTCATTTTCAGGCGATAGCATCGGATAGGCGTGGAGGGGTGGTGAGGTTGTGGCCGGTGCAGTGGTGGCAAGGGGGTGGGTTGGAGAGCTGCGTAATCTAGCGACCTCTGACCCTCACTAGCGTTCCGCTGCTTTCCATCTGTTCTCATCTTCCTTCTACGCTGACGGGTGCATTAGTGGTGGTGACATCGTCAAATATAAATAGCACCTGAATCTGTGCGCATTCATGCCACCACAGTTATATTATGTTCTTTGATATTTGATGGTTGCTAAATTGTGATGGGGGGTGGGGGAACAGTGGTGCAGTGGTTAGCGCACTGCAATAAACACCCAGAGACTTGAGTTTGCATCCCTGACATCAGCGGAGAGTGATATCTGAACTCATTCGGGGTACCTGCTTTACCTGCCCATGCTGTGACAAGGGTCACACTTTAAATTGTGATATTTTTACTCTTAATTTTGTCGAGCATTTTTATTCAATGGTCTTTTCTGTATTGTTTACACAATTGCAATTTGCTCTATTGCTGTACTTATTTCTTTTCTGTACTAACTTGAACACCTTTACAAAAGGGACGTGTGGTCTCAATGGGCTCTTATCTGGTTATACATAATGAATATCTTACATTCATATATTTAAAAAAAGATGTGTTAAATTTAATATTGGTCATCTGTTCAGTCTCGCTGTCTCCCTCAAACTTCAGCATTGTAGTATTTACGAGCAGTTACTTCCTTCATGTGGCCGATAAAGAACAACTCTTTGAGATTTAGTTGCTGAATTCCAGATACACCGCATTCAAATGTACAGGTAGTCCTCTACTTACGATGGACATGCGTTACGACGACCCCATCGTAAGTCGAAAATATCGTCAGTCAAAGATGACGTAGCCTACCCAGGAGTCATAAAGAATGGTGATAATTTAGCAAAACAGAGCAATTTACAGTACCGTACTGTATAAACTATATACTGTATGTATTTATTAATTACAATACTGTATTGCACAGTAAAATGTAAAGTAAAAAAACAAGGTAAATTCTTAGCCTACCTATATGAACTGCAATTTAATAGAAAGTTTTTTTCAGGAAACAATCCAATCTGCTAAAAAAACTTTTAACATGCGTATCGTATCGTGGTAAACCTAAAATGAAATCGCTAAAGCTACGTATCATACATACATACATTGAACGTATCGTAACGTATCACATTGTACTGTCCTCGCAAAGATTCTGTCCGTCGTCTGCATACTTGAACGATGTTAGGTTGTTGATGACAATTTTGTCGTATCGCTATCGCCATCGTAAGATCGAAATATCGTAAGTCAGACCATCGTAACTCGGGAGCAGCGCGACGGTTCTACGGTCCACGGTTTGGAGTTTGCAGTCGCACACAGCGTCCACTGGACGTAAGACATGCTTACGTGAAGACCGTTAATAAAAGTGGTACTTATTTGTTACAAACAGGAACACGAGATAATTAAGTCTTAGATTCACTGCTGGTTGCTGAAACGGAGATTTACATCCAACATTTCAGCAGTGCTTTGCCACAGCCGTTCAGGGCGTTCTGAGCCACCCAGTTTACATCCCTTCCCAAGGTTGGTTTCGGCACACCATCATCATCATGAATGTTAAGTATCTTGATCGGCATCTTCATCAGCATTCAATGAGCACCAGTGAACAAGGTTGCACCTCTCAACAGTGTTAAGTCAACAGTGATTCATGTGTTCAGGATAGGCCATCCCAGTCATACCAATGTGGAATTATCACAACTGCTTGAGGGCCACGAATGGATATGAGCACCATGTTTTGCTCATTTGAGTAAGTGTGGACAGACACTCTTTCCTAACCCTTTGGACATTTTTCTCAAAATGGTGCTTCTCTGACAATAGATGCTGCTTGAATGCATTTCCTAAATTTTCCCCGTGGCCCTGGGGCAAGGCTTAGTGGTGCGTCTGGCTCACCATTATGGTCGCTTTCCTAACGTGCCCTGGGCATTCTTAACCCAGCAGCTCTTAACAACACCGCCACCACCACCACCTCGGTCCCTCTACCAAATCCCACCTCTCCAGCAGCTACCAACCTCCCCCTAAACGACGATAAGAGATTTTAATTTGGAGATTACATCTGCAAGCCCCCTTCGTGCTCTGGTCACCCCCGTTTGCATGAGTCCTGTGTTACAAAGCTGCATGGAGTAGAAGTGGTTATTTTATTCTCAAAGAGTGCTACACACACGGTACGTAGTTTGTACCTTCCACATTCAACGCAGTCATCGTTCTACCACCACTTGTCAGTGGCAGCATGCAGTCATCATTCCACCATTATCATCTGGCTTTGGGCCTTCCTTTTACGTGTCAAAACCAACACATTCGATTGCAGGTAAATTATCAAAACATTCATCACCATCATCAGCCGTGGTCTATCCATTGCTGCATGAAAGCCTCTTCACCCTGTCACGTACTAATTTTATGGCCGAGTCAACTTAGGACAGGTTCAGATACCGTGAACCCAGGTTGCTGGGATTATAACACAGCGATAACTGCTGCACCCCACCATTCCTCGCGTGATACGTATCGCACACTTGGCACACCCGTCGCGGTCATCTTCAGGACTGCAATGGGGCCAGTGGATGGCAGGACAGCAAGTAGGTTGCTGACCTATCTATATATTGTTTGAGTGTCATCCCCATATTTGTCCGAGTTTTCTCTGGTAATATATCCAGGCAGACGTTTCTGGATAAATTAAGGACTACGTTTGTGTTTTTTTACGGGAGCCCACGGGATAATTATTACTGTGTCTGGGAAGTATTATGTTTGTGCTTTATAAATTTAAATAGCGTTGCTACATACTCCTGTGATTGGTATGCGCGAGTTACAACACGAGCACGTGGGTGTGAGTCGGCATGCATGCGCCAGTTTCTACGTGCATTTGCGTGTTTCAGCCCACACGTTCTTTGGACGGTCAAATCCCGTAACGAAAAAGAGGCTCCCTGAATGTATTTTCTTGCTATTTTGTTGTATTTCAATTGTATAGCACCTCTAGGTCTTCCTTACTTTATCCCAATGGCCCCTTATTGGGTTATCAAAGCTGTTGAACTGAACATAACTGATCTGTAACGAGGCTAAACCCAACGAGATTGTGTTGACCTTTGTGTCTGTGCAAACAGGATGGGGACATTGACCTGAAATTGCTCACCCGAGTCTTGGCCCCAGAGCCTGAGATCAGAGAGGTGAGTTCTGAAAGTGTCACCATTCCAGTAGCAAATCACACGTCACAATTAAGGTGATTTACAAAACGGGTATTTATTAGGAAGCCACTGGAGCTATGCAATTTTAAAGCAAGATTTAAAGCTCATTTCTTGAAAACTACCTTTTTTATTTCGTTGTCCATCCCCCGGCACCTCCATTAGCACGGTTGGCTACGTACATTGGGAAAGAAGTTCAACATACATACATTGTCATCTGTTGGGTGGCACCGTGCTGAGAGTACTTAACTCACAATCGTAAGGTTTGGAGTTCCCATTCCAGGTTAGGGGCTGACTCAGTCACCCTTCTGGGATCGCTTAAATGAGCACCACTTTGTTTGGAAGTCACCAGTGGTTGCAACATGACACCACAGCCCCTACCATTTGAATTATAATTTTCACCACTAGTTTGGGCATTAACATGGAGATGAATACTACATCTTCAGCATCTTGTCATCATCATCACCATCCTTTATCATTCACCATTATCATCAATTAATTGTAACTGATTTAGTGCACGTGTTGGCTACTTCGATGTGTGCCTCTTATCCATTAATAGACGCAAATGATTATTACCATCTATCCAAACGTCTTAATCAGTAAAATAATGTCCACTTGCCCCATGCCATCCTCTTCCTAACCTTCCCCTTCAAAAATATATTCCGTCCTTTTTGTCACAAGTTCTCAATGCATATAGATGCTTTTCCATCGCTTGCAACATCTTGAGACATGGTCGCATTGAGACGTTCGATAAATTCAAATGTCACCATCGTGTATTTCACGATTAATTTTCGAGGTACGGTCACACTTGCGCACCGCCACGGTCAAATTTCTGTTGCGTAATTGCATTGTATGGTATTGTACTGCGCGGCAGGATGACGGGCCCTGGGACTGGGCCCTGCTCTACACCGAGGTGTCGTCGGAGCTCACAAGCGAATGGGAGGGTGCCGGCGCCACCCCCAGTGTCCCCGAGAGGCCCAGCTCGAGGCTTCCTTCCGTGTCCGCTCGCGCCAAACACATGTCTCTTCCAGCGCACACCTGATCAGCACAGGCGCTGTGTCCTATAAGTCCTCGCTTTTTTAAAGTTAACAGGTGTCCAATTAGTGATTGCCTACATTTTTTGAAGTGAGGATGTAATCCCTATCTTTTGTGTTTTTCAAATTCGAATGAGTTAATAATTGTCGAGTCATATGCAAAGATTTTCTGTGTCGCCTGCATAGAAAGTTCTGCGCGGATAGGTTCACGACCCTATTTTCTGTACTGCCATCTGCAGGCCACGTCACATTCCAGTGGGTTTAGATATATCACAAAGCTACATGAGACATCATTTATTTAATTTACTGGATTGCAGACGTGCACCACAATACTCGGCTTGATGTATTTCAGTATAATGTCACTGATTATTGGCACCCAAGATCCAGTGTTGTAAACTCTACGTTATTATGGCAGAGACCGGTTTCTGTATCTGACATCTGCTGTAGACTTCACACAAATTGGTACCCAGAATTTGAACTGAAAACTGTCCTGTCTTGAGCTAAGCACTGACAAGTATTACCTTGCTATGGTTATATTATTTTTTCATTACTAATTAAAAATGTTAAATTTCGATTTAAAGCTTTCGTGACTGCAAGGATTCATCTTCTTTGGTTCTTTCGGCAAAGTCCCGTAGAATGAGAATAAAATAATACATTCATCAGATGAAGGCCGCTTGTGTTGTGGCCGAAACGGCGTGAGAATATTATTGTGTTATTTTATTTTATCAATTTATTATTTTATTCTCATTCTACGTGACTTTACCGAAAGAACCAGAGAAGAATTAAAAATGTGGTCGGTTGCACTGGTCTCCGAGAGATTCGAACGGACGTGTCGTCGCATGACACACGAAATCGATAGCATAAAATTTATTTTAAAAAAAATTAAACAAACTTGCTACTTTTACTGTAGGGTAAAGATTTGTCTGTTGGCAAAAGGCCTTTAAAAGCTGGCCAATTGCTGCGTTTGGCAGAGCCATTGATGAAAGAACGATCCTCCAAAACTTCAATGGCCCTCTGCCAGCTTGTGATTCACAGCCATGATGTTGACTTAACCTCGGAATATATCAGCACAAGACATTGCGGGCTCCGTCGCATGATCTACGTGCATTAGCTGCTACTGTCCTATTAACAGAAGCTGCTGACACCATCATTTCCACTTTGGCTTGTTTGAGATGACGTTTTTTAATAGTTTTTTTTATGAAAGTAATTGAAAATGATAGCGCTTGTTATCAATATTATTACTTCACTTACAATATGTAATCATATTACCAGTGCTCATTTTGTCGTAGCTTTGTATTTTTTATGGTAACTTTCATCTCTGAAGCACCAACATTTTTTTAATAAAAAAATTGTCAGCATGTTCCTCTTATTTCTAAGGTTAAATCAGCCTAACATGTTAATTGGAGCAAAAGAATCATAGTCGCCTGATAAAAGAGTATGTGACTTTCTAAACCTACAAATATGGGTTTACATTACATTAATTATAAAATATAATTGAGACGACTTTAAAGAGTTGCTCTTCAAACAATGACTCTAAGGCCTCCTCGTCTTTAAAAAAAAAGTATCCCAGTGTCCTCTAGACTCAAACCCACGTTAAACTGAAGCTCACAAAATTGACTGATTCAGCCAGTCGTGTTATCCTATGTTACTGCCTTTCCACCGGCACATCTGAGCCGAGCCAGCCTGGAGCCCTCTGGGTAAACCTGGTTCTCAACTGGCTATTCGCCGCGCCAAGCCAAGCTGGCCTCACAAGAAGATGTCGAAACTTGGCTCTGAGCCAATATATGAACAGGTGTGGAGCTGATCCGTGCAATTTTAGTCGCAAACACTGAGCACACAGTAGCATGGCACTGATCGGATTCTACAGTGGAAAAACAACCGATCACCTCGTGAGCCACGATGGACTGGCTCGGCATGGCCCTGACATGGATCAGTTGTGGAGTGGAAATGAGATATAAGGGTCTTTAATGCTTTGGAAACATTTTCATAACCTATACTCCGATGTAGTATTTAGGGAAAGTCACCAAATGGACTGGTTTAGTAAAGTGTGTTGCTCTTTATGAGGCCCATTTGCTTTGGAACCACTGGTGTTGCATGCGCTATTATTAATAATGCCCATTATTCAGAAAGGCCTCACGAGGATGTTTGGCCATTTCCCATTCCTCACAAAGTTCTGCATGGATAGATTTAAGAACACCTGGTACTCCCAGGCAGTCCTTTTAAACACTAACAGGCTCAATACTGCTTACCCTTCAAGGCATGATTGGGCACGTTCGGGGGTTTTTGGTGATTGGTTTTTATGCAGATTTGACTGAGGATTGTTAAATGGACTTGGCTCTTTTTATTGTTGCCCCCCATGTGAGTTGGTTACCCTTTGTTGCTGTGGTTTCACTACAGTATGCCTTTCAGAGCACGGGGAAGGAAAGCACTTGCTGGGTGTTTGTCCTCCAAATGTTGGGGCGTTGTAGTTTTGGGGGTAAGAGGGGTAGGAGTTATGGGGGGTGGGGGGCTTTGTTGGTGGAGGGATGGAGGCCCAGAGGGGGTGCACTCAAAGGTGCTGCTAACCGTGTTTGGTGTGTGGGAATTGGCCAAGCCCATGGGGGGATTGTTCTGAGCCATATGCCCCAAACATCTGCGACGCGGCGTTCTCTGCATGCGCGCGCCTGCATGTGCGTGCCACCAAGCTCCTATAACATGCACACTACATACATACACACCTACATAAACAAACGCACACATGTTCATGTATACACACGCATGCATGTGTAGTGGCACACATGCGTGCGTATACAGAGAAAAATTATACTGGTTCGCAAAGGCAAAGGTCCCCCGTGTAGCCTTTTATTATTCGTGCTTACCCAGGGAAAGACTTAACTAGTCTCATGACTGGTTTCAGGTGGGTCCTGCCAAGTGTTCGCGATAGCGGGAATGATTGCTATGTATATTCCAATTGAGTCATTTGCGGGTAATTTTTCGATTGTTACGCCGACAGACCTTCGCTTCTGATTGCTGTCAAGGGATCTTTAACGTCCACTTTAAAGCGGACGGCACGAATTTTTATGGTTAATACTCTGGCAGTATTAATTATGGATTCGAACAGTTAACTTTTGCAACAAGCAGCAAACGGGCTACTGCTATGCCATGCCACCGCTCCTGCCTTAAACAGACTTTGAGGAAGTCCTGTTTGCGAGCACCTATTAAGGCCAGCAATATACCCAGCTGCCTTTCTCTCCACAATGCTGATGTTTACATGCTACACCAGGTACGAATTTGAGGCTGAGTCAAGAAGACCCAGAGGTTTGCATATAGTGACGGCCAGGCAATTTTCAGCTCTGTGTTCCACAACACGATGAAACACAATTTTTGTTCCTGGAGAGTAAGTGTTATTTCCTAATTGATTATGCCTAAAAAGTATAGAAAATGGCTATTATTCCCCACAAACTTTGCTTTTGTGACCAGGACATTGATATTTAGAATTGTAGCTATTTTCAATGAGAAAACGGGTGAATTTGTGTCTTTTCGTTCACATAATCATACAAAACAACATGAATCAAAATTAACATGTATTTATACCAAAGTAATACACAAATTACTTCTAAATATTTAGAAGTTAGCAGTTTTTCGAGATTTATGATTATACTTTAAATCACGTTCACGCATCACCCCCCAAATATAGTCTCCCATCATGTTCTCGTTATACTGTCTTTGGTAGCGGCGTTCAAAGTCTCAGTATATCCTGGTGGAAGTGCTCGCCTTGCTCCTCCAAGTACGCTCCCATGTTCTCCTTGAATTTGTCAAGATGAGCATCAAGGATATGGACTTTGAGGGACATCCTACAGCCCATTGTGCCGTAGTTCTTCACCAGAGTCTCAACCAGCTCCACATAATTTTCGACCTTGTGATTTCCCAGGAAGCCACGAACCACTGCGACAAAGCTGTTCCAAGCCGCTTTCTCTTTACTAGTGAGCTTCTTGGGGAATTCATTGCACTCCAGGATCTTCTTTATCTGTGGTCCGATGAAGACACCGGCTTTGACCTTTGACTCAGACAGCTTAGGGAAGAAGTCTTGAAGGTACTTGAAGGCTGCCGACTCCTTATCTGTAGCTCTGACAAATTGTTTCATAAGACCCAATTTGATGTGCAGTGGTGGCATCAGCACCTTCCGGGGGTCCACCAGTGGCTCCCACTTGACGTTGTTCCTCCCCACAGAGAATGCGGTCCGCTGTTGCCAGTCCCACCTGTGGTAATGCGCCTTGGTGTCCCTGCTGTCCCAAAAGCAAAGATAGCAGGGAAACTTGGTAATACCGCCTTGGAGACCCATCAGGAATGCCACTATTTTGAGGTCTCCGATGACCTCCCAACCGTACTCATCATACTTCAAGGCGTCCAGCAAGGTCTTGATGCTGTTGTAATCCTCTTTGAGGTGCACCGAGTGAGCCAGGGGAAGAGACGGGTACTTTTACTATTATGGAGCAGCACGGCTTTGAGGCTCCTGGATGAGCTCTCAATGAAGAGGCGCCACTCATTCCGGTTACAGGCGATTCCGATTGACTCGAACAGACTGGTCACATTGTGGCAGAAGCAGAGCCAATCTTGATGGGTGAAGAAGCTGCAAAAAGATTGGTGACGCTTCCTCTGATCTGCGACTTGCGCACTTTCATCCAACAAGTTCCACTGCTTGAGCCTAGACGTCAAAAGCTCGGCATTGGACTTTGTGAGACCAAGATCTCTGATCAAGTCGTTGAGGTCTTTTTGGTTGGGGTAGTATGGGTATCTCTCCTCAGCTCCACCTCTGAAATTGTCATCTGGATCTACAACGCCTTCCTCGCTCTCTGACTTGCTGCTCTCTTCTAAAGACGGCTGCTCTCTCCAGAGGAATGGGTACGGGGAGCTCATGGCAGTGTGGCACCGGGGCGATGGCTGAAGGAAGGTCCGGATATGTTATAGTCGGTGCATTCTTGCCAGTCCGATGTTTGGAAGGGTCCACCATGCAGAGGTAGCAGTTGCTTGAGTGGTCAGTGGGTTCCCGCCAAATTCTTGGGATAGCCAACTTCATGGCTCTCTTTTCCCCTCTGTACCATCCTACAAAAATATATTTATTTCGCCCATGACTAATATGTAAGAGATTATAATTGTCCATCTTACCTTCCACAGTTTTTTTTTGTATTGCTCGCAGGTGAAATGAGGTGCCCAGGGTTTGTCTTGATCCCCGACAGGCATGCCGAAATATGCCTTGTAGGCCTCACACATCTTAGCAGATGCTTCCACAGAGTACTTTTTCACTCTTGTATTGATAAATTGGCCACAGACAAAGCAAAATGCGTCTGCCGGATGCTTTCAGCCTCTTGATGCCATCTCAGAAAAATGCAGATATGTATCCACTTAGGCAGCTGGAATTAAACTGAACTGGTGGGCTTAATGCCCCTGTATTTACACTACTATTTATTTTACTGGAAAGTTCTAGAATGTTCTAGAAGTTACTCCAAGTTTACTTAGCACTGAATCTATCTTGAATGTTCTGGAAAATAGGTAAACTTCTAAATATCACTGTCCTGGTCACAAAAGCAAAGTTTGTGGGGAATAAAAGCCATTTCTGTACTTTTGAGGCATAAGCGATTAGGAAATAACACTTCCTACCCAGGAAGAAAAAAAATTGTTA